ATAAAGATTGAGTGCTGACCGGGTCTAAGTGACAAGTGCAGTATTTTTCTGTGGTCAGAAATAGTGTGCTGTACATCTACAGGTACTCAAGATTGTATAGCCCTAGCATACGTTTTATTAAGCTTCCTTCGACGCTTGGCAATGTATTTGTAGTAAACTGAGAACAGGCACGTTGGTTCCTAACATTATACGTCACCAGGCTCACAAACACGATAGATGGTTTCACGCGTCGCACCCGCTCATCTAGCCTATCCGCTACTGGCAACAGAGGCCATTGACCTTGGATGACCTCATATAGCCCTGAGTGCCCTCACGCGACCTATTGTGATCTCATTATGCCTCAGAATGACATCGCAACAGGTTTCCAGCGGGACATTAGAATGCGGTGCCTTAAGTTATTTGGTAGAACCGCCTATTTTGAGCTCAGTATGTGTTTTCCAGAAAACACCCATAGGGTTAGGTCATGACCTAGGTCAACGTCATGTGCCCTGTGGCCATATCATGGTTGGGCACGTGAACAAGTACTCTTCTTCTAATACACAAACACCGAAATTGCACACAAATAGAACAAATTTACCCTAATGACAAAAAATACACAAAGGTATCTCACCTTAGGCCACTGACCTAACCTGTTACGAAAATTCTGGAAGGTATAAACTGTGGGTTCTATCATGTAATATCATCACAGCACGTTTGAACAATAATAAAAAACGTACAAAAAGTGTGCGCAGTTGTACCTGACATGCCTGAATGTGACATATCGTCATGCTTCGACGTATGCAGAACTGTTTACTTGAACGTAAATAGGCTGATGTCACAATCCTGTCATCGCTACATCTGAGGCTGGCTTTTTGTCCCCCCCCCCCCCCCCGGCTAGGCATCTGTGTAATACAAGAACCGGCCTTAACACATCATCAGATAAACAACAACCAGCAATACAACAACTTCACACTCACAGACCAGTATCTCCTCTCACGTAATCACATTTCGAACACTATCGCATAAACATATTGGAGTGCGACATCCTGCAGGTTTTCCACCATGTGCGGACGAAAATGAAAACAGAAGGCACTGACAAAACCTCACTCTCCCACTTCCCCTCCGTCTTCCTCTCCCTCTCTCTCCATGGCCCTCTTCATCTCCCTGCCCTGTTCCTGCACTCTCCCTCCCTCTCCCTCTTCTTGCTGCGCCCTGACCGTGTTTTCAGCGTCGCCAGCGCCGGCTAGACGGCCGTGCCGCTCCGCCGAAACGTGCGCGGCGTCCGGGCCGGCCGGACGTGCTCACCTGTTTTTCTCCATGACGGCGCGGCGCCCGCCCGCTGCAGCACCTTCCGCTCGGCGCCACACCGCGCACGGACGGTCGCTGCCGCGCACCCGACCTGACTGCACCTGGAGTCGGAGGGCGGCCTCGTGCAGCCGACACAATCACGCCATAAAATCGATACCGGCGCTGTGCACATACGTCACGTGCGGCCGGTGGCAGCCGGCAGCGCGGCTCCGGCTTGGCCGCCACCCCCCGCCTGGGGTACCGACCGCAGCCCGGCGCGGCGGCGCACCGGCAATTTCGCTCGATTAATGCGGGGAGGAACGGACTCATGGCCTTGGCACGTCACTGCTGCCGGCCACGGCGCGGGATGCCTGGTGACGTGGCTGATCCGCACAGCGCGGCATAAGAGCATGGAATACTGTGCAAGTTGTAGTTGTAGTGTAGTTGTAGTGTAGTGTAGTTGTAGTGTAGTGTGTAGTTGTAGTAGCTTGCAGAAAAAAGCGTTCGTTCACACCAACACCAGATGCTTGCCGACCGTCTCGACATGTGCCCAAAAGGAAAACCAATGCGATATACGCTTGACAAAGTACAACGTTATTCGCCCGCTTTGGATCAAGTCTTATGACGCACTTAAGAATGCTCCACATTTGAAGATTTTAAGGCAAACATCACATATGATGAAATAAGATAACTTCTAACTATTCATATGCTTCCAGGTGCAAAAACTCCTCTAGACCGCACAATTTCACTATTTATACAAATTGTTCACCAATATGTCATCGTGTGATTGCGTCATGGTCCAGCTGTATGACATCAGATGGGCTGGCAGACTGGCCGTGTGAAATTCCTATCGTAGCGGACGGAAGGACTCACTTGTAGTACTTCAACGTCTCGAGAGGTGCCGTGCTATCCGTGTCTCGCTGGTAAGCCCAAATATCCTACCGCACGCGTATTTTGGCCAGCTCTCGTGCTGTTCTTGCGCATCAATCCGTGGTTTTGTATTGCTTATTTGTATTAACATGCCCGGTTATGGGGCTATTTTTGAGCTATTTGATTCTCCGTCTTGCTCCCGTAATAAGTACTTCCGCTGTGCATCTTCCTGAATTATAGAGCGCACAATGCTATGCGTTTTCGAAATATGCGTTGCATGTATAACATTGCTTTATAGCCACTGTGCGCCAGGAATGGCGCTGATGTATGCCAGGCACAAACACGAGGAGGATGTTTATATTGACCTTGAGCACTGCATGGTCAATGGGATGGTACTATTTGACGTTTCTATGGGGTCATGCCAGTCCGGATGACGTTAGAACAGTCTGCATGACGCAAACGTTCCCACAAGTTCTCGCGCGCCTGGCTTAGAAACCGGAGGCTTGTAATCTGAGGAAAAGCAGCGCCATCTGTGGACTGGACTGGACATCATGCGCCGCCAGGACTGCATGATGACTTTCAAACCGGTCACCTCAGTTCAAAACCCCATACAAATGTGGAATACTCCCTTAAACCCAGCGACTAACGGACCCTGTTGAATCCTCACACGCTACCCCATGAGTTTGCCACCTACCTAAAGCTGATAGATCACTGACACTGGAAATTTTCCATTCTGGTATCGGTGACATCAGAGAACAGCTGTGGCCCTGGTCGTTGTCATGTTCGGTGATGCAGGCGGCCGTTTTTGTTATCCAGCTGGCCTATGTTTAGATTCCAATTCAAGCCAGACAACTAATTCGGCCTCCACGATTTCCTCCTGCGAGAGCGTGGTCCTCGTGCAGAATGCAAACAAAGGGCACATCCATGACTTTTGCAAGCGAAAGAGGGTGCTGATACCCAACATTCCGATACCATTACGGTAGAACTCTGGCGTGTTTCCAAATGCTCGCGGGTCACGAAACCATGTGCATCTTGGGCACGAGAGATTGCGGTGCAGAAGTTGTAATTGATCTCGTCATATCTGATGTTTGTCTCATCATATCTGGTGCTTGTTTCAGCATAATAAAAGGTGAAATATTTCCTTTCAACTGTTTGGGCACTAGATCACTGGCTTTGTTTCTAGATGTCAACGTCGTCGCTTATGTCGGTTTTATCGGAATGTCAGCTACATTGGTGCAATTACATTGGCCCTTTGTGCATGCATGACAATATGCTTCATTCATAACGCACAGCAGCACTGTGGCCTGCAACATCCACTTCTTACTCATCTTCCATTTTCACCACCCCAATAGTCATTTGATTTCTGTCCATGTCAAAATCTTGAATTATTCCTACTTTTCGTATGCAAAGCAATGCACCATCCAACTTTCTCTGCATACACTCAGTTGAAATCCCGTGTTGCTAGTGTTTTTAATGCTAATGTTTTTGTTAACGTTTCTTTTGCTAACATTTCAAACAGGGTGCTGGCTCAGGCTCTAGTAGGCATGGTATTCTTCATGGTGAATCGGCACAAACCTGGTTGGTTCAGAACAAAGTTCACATAAGAGTCAGCCTTGTTGATGAAAACCTGTTCTTCGTCATCCTTTTGTTTAGAAATTTGCCAGAGAGGTGCCCAATATCACGCGAGCGATTCAACATTACTTCGGGTTATAATGAAGCATGATATCCAGCACACTTGCTCCCTGGGCCGAGGGGATTCCCCCCGCACGATCTTGCCGCATGCAAGCAATGCCCTTCTGGGACGTTGGTTGCATCACTTTGACGCTGACATTGACTCGATCCTTGCTTATATCTGGGTATCTGCACACTGACATTGCGTGAGAAAACGGGTGTGGAAGCGTGCTGCAATATGGACTGTACAGCAACTGCGTAGTTACCACACGCGCAGGTTTGCAGCACAGCCTACGCGACTATTCGAGCTGTTTTGGCATTTGCGCGGGTGCGCAGGAAAACGCTCAGCCAGTGCTGAGTCCTTCGCTGCTTACCCAGCGCGGACGATCGATTCAAGTCTCAGAATCAGGCGGGCGTCCAGCGGGGCTCTGCTGGGTTCAGTTTGGCCGGGAGCAGCTCGACCCTCTTCCGGGCCCCAGCCTAAAACAGAACCCTGACGTATACACCAGAACAAGCGCTCGCGGCCACGCCGCCCATTGGTGTTCACGTGAAAACGTCATCGCTGATCTCCGCTGGTGAGCTTTCCTACAACGGCAGGCCCAGGCCTGACCCTTGCTAGGACCTCGGAGGGAGCGAATGCTTTGCGGTGGCAGACGCCGGGTCAGTCGTCTCACAATTTGCAATCCCACTGGTATCCAGTCAGCCATGTCTGGTTTTAGAGCCGTTGGGTTGTTGAAGTTGAACGTTCAAGTTATGCATCACCAGAAAATGAACGTAAAATATCTTCCAAAGGAGGGAGGCGTACCATGAGCCATGACCCCGTGCGGCATTTGTGTCCGGCGTAGCGCGCCCAGCGTCGCATGAGGGTTCACTGAACGCCGAATAAGGCCATTCATCCAAAAAACCGTTCCCCCGAGGCGTCAGTCCACGTGGCGTCGGCTGGGCCCGTTTTTCTCCGCGTTTCGCCCACCACGCCAAGCCGACATCCACCACGAGCCGGCTGCGCCGAGATCGCGAATAGCGCCGCGGGGCGGAGAGCGACGAGAGGCGCGAATTCACCGCTGTGGGCCGTCGGCTCAGTCAGCGGCGGGACCAAAGCCAAGCCTTGGGCGGCGGACGGTGGTTAGGTGGCGCCGGGAAGGATCGAGGGTGCATATAGATCAGGGAGCCATGCGAGCGAGCGCAGTCGGTGGGTTGGTAGCGGCTTTGGCACGTACCTCAGAGACACCTAAACCAGCACTATGCCGGCTTTCGAGATTGATACCAACGCCCCTGAGGCGAAGATCACGCCCGAGGTGGTCAAGGAGCTCACAGAGCTTCTCGCCGAGATGCTGGGGCTGGAAACCAAGGTGAGACGAATCGCTGCTTGAAAGAAACCCTGGGTGCTGCAACGTTGGTCGGCGCAACGGTCCACACGCGTGTCACGAGCACCCAACGTCGAATGCCCCTGTTGGAGCACACCGACGTAGCTGGCGCTTCGTAACTCGTTGCTTGACCAATATTTCCGGTGCCCGTACAGCATGTGGGAAAATGAGAGAAACAAAAAACTTTTACGCGGACCGGCACGCCTTGGCGATTTGTTGCAGAACAGAATATTACAGAATATTATCAGAATTGGTTACACCCAAGGGCTACGCCCCTGCCACTTTCCAAGAGAGCTATAGGTGCAGTGTCGCCCACTGGCTCTGACCGGCTCCCCAGGCATGGGCGCACATCCTGTCAGCGGCCTCGAGCTTGCCGTAACTGTTGACGGTGTTCTTGGGGATTAGTTTGCGGTCGCATCACGCTGTTTATTGTGGTGCGGACTACGGCTTGCAACGTAAAACTTCCGCTTGCAGAACTATGAGTTCGGTGTTCTTGTGCCGAACGTTCGCGATTTCCAGTGTAAAAGGCGCTAGGCGTTAGTTTAACGACGTTATCAAGCAAATATAAAGACATTCAGACATCTGGCCAACAAAAAGCCACAAGGGCTCATCGAGGTTGGCTTACGTCAGGCTCCGCAGACATCCTTGAAACTAAACTTAACCCATGACCTTCCTGAATTCAGCTATAAATGAGATCTTTTGAGCGATAGAACTGGTCCAAATTATTTTTAGATATGGCTAGAAAGGGACTTTCTATAACTTTGTTTGGCAGCCCACCCCAATGGCTCACTACAAATGACATCTGCCTACTGGTAGTTTTACTCCTACCTTTTGCTAACTGAAGCTGATTTCCTCGGCCTAAGTCTCGGCCTAATTTCCAGTGCTCCATGCAAATCTGCCTCGTGTATCCCTTTCATAATCTTGAATGCCCCTATGAGATCCCCCCAAGTCTAGGGTATTTCGGCGTATACAAAGCAGAGGCCCTACAGCTATCCTTTTATAATAAGTCGCCAATCCCATTTATCATCATTGTTGTTTTTCGCTGTACTTTCTCCACCCTATCTTCATCTTCTTGGAAGCATGGGGACCTAGCCTGTACACCTCACTCTAGGTGTGGTCTGACATAAGTACAACCTTTGACAACATTCGTACTTTGGTAATGGGCCTTCCTGTTGATAAGTCCCAGCATCCGAAGTATCTTGCTCCTTTCTCCTACTTAATTTTTCAATATTTACATCCTGGAAAATCATTATCCCTAGATCCTTTTTCTTTCTCGATCTGGCCTTATTCCCGGCCTCCCAATTCATATCCGATGCCCTCACTACCAAAACTACCCAAATGCATCACCTTGCACTTATCATAGCTGAATTATAACTGGCGCAGAGAGCCCAGTTCACTAGTTCCTCTTAGTCAAGCTGAATTTGGTTCACCTGGTCGGTATTTTCGACACCATTACCAAGTTTGATATCATAAGAAAATTTCAGCACCCTCCTCTCTAATCCTATCTGAATATTATTTACAATAATGATATAGAGCAAAGGGCTTTTTACAGACCAGTGGGAAACCCAACTCTCTACCAGCTCCCACTGAGATTTGGTACCATTTAGCATTACTCTTTGTTTCCTTTCTAGCAGTGTAGCCCTCGCCCAAACCAATAATTTTTTTCTCGATGCGATGCAATTTTAACTGGTACAGCAGAGGTTGGTGTGACATCTTGTCAGACGCCTCAGTAAAATTTAGATAAACAACATCCAAACTATTGCCTGTATCTATCTGACTAGTGACGTGCTCCATGTCACTAACCTAACCTAACTAACCTAACCTAACCTAAAGGAAAGGCTACCAGAAAGTAAACCCATGCGGGCTATCATTTGTGAATTGATGCCTAGATTTTATCAACTTGTGTCTATCTAAGTGTGGCTGAATGCTAGCCTTAATATATTTCTCTAGCATCCTACATACCATGGAGTTAAGACTGACAGACCTGTCATTGCTGACACTTCTTTTGGTCCCCTGCTTAAAAATAGGTGCTTAAGTGGCATTGTGCCAATCCTCGGGTACTTCTGAGAAACTCAATGACCTCTTGAATATTAACATAAGAGCGTGAACTTAAGCACTAACGCATCCACTCAGCACTCTATCATATACATGGTCAGGTCTGGCCGCCTTATTGATCTTGATTCCCTTCAATCTATCCTTTACCCTCGGTCATCGTCAAATGCACAAGACTGCCTTCAGTCAGACCTTGCCTTTTACCAGGGAGATCACACACAGTCTTCTCTGTAAAAATGAAAAAATACTGCTTACTAAGAGCATCTATAGCATCCCTGTCCTCGACTTATGCTTTTCCATCTTTCTCGAGAGGCCGGGAGAGGATCCCCTGAATTTGAATTTGTGGGAGCTGAATAATTTTTTGAAGTCGCTAAAGCAAGTGTCCTCTGGCCGTATTTCTGACAATTCTTTGGCTGCGCCGATTTTCCTCCTTAGCTTTTTTTGTGGCAATCCTATACATCGCCCTGTTCCTTTCCGTGTCCCGCAATTTTTGCCTAGCATGTGCCGCATTCTTCACCGCCATCAAATTACACACTATCTGTGCCAGTCATGGAGGCTTCCTTGAAATATTTTTCCCGCATTTTCTTGAAGGAAATGAATCTCTCCTGCCCCTTTTAAAAATTTCCTTTAACACTTCCCACATCTGATGTGCAGTGAGACCAGTAAGAATATGTTCCCACTAGTAGCTAGCAGGAAAGGATGTGAGCTCTTCAAATTCACCCCCAGCAAAATATGGAATACGAATATGATAAGCCTTAACTCAATGGCCTGGACGCTATGAAAACCTTACGATATTATGGTCACTGTTTCCCAGTGGTGCACCCACTGTCAAAGCATCTTCTCACCCTCCCCCTCATTAGTCATAACAAGATCCCAAACTTTATCCCCCCTAGTGGATGCGCGCACCAGGCGTTGAAGAAAATTTTCTTCAAAACAAGGATGTTTTTGTGACTGACAATTGGCCAAAATCTTTTTGGCTCACTGCTCGGCAATTTTCAATTTGTATTACCTAGGTGTTCTACATTCACCGTCCCATACAGAAACTACACAGAGGTAGTTTCCCTCCTTTTTCTTACTTAGATAGTATAATTTAGAGGATCTAATCTTTTATCTTCCTCTTTTTTGAGACACAAGCATTTTTTGGCGGGAACTATTTTGTTAGCTTGCCTGAAGGATACATTGGTACACCCTGCTCAGGACGTGTAAACCTTTCTCAGACAAGTTGAGTTCATCTCTCTGATACAGGTCTCTACAACTGAAAACTTGTCCCACTCGTCTACCAACGTGAGTTCCAGCTTGTCACAAAATTTCCCTACCCTAGTGTTGGCTGCCAGCGCCCCGGAGCTCTACTCAGGAGGGGCTCTGATCTTAGGCGGAATGCCTGTTACTATCTTCCTACCTTTGCTATGCCGTAGGGTGGCCAAAAGGGTTCTGTGATCCTTATTTACCTCCTCGTTATGCTCCAGCTCTACATTGTTTACTCCGACCCGCACAATGACTGCACTGGCCTGGTTTTTGCTGGTGACCTGCGCCACCACTGGCACTACGTCCTTGACCTTGGCTCCCGGCTTAGTAAAACATTTTCTTCCTTTCCTGCATGTGCAGAGAACCCTGTTTAGACGCATCACTTGAGAGTCCTCTTATGTCGCAAGCCTTGGTTTAGCTGCACTTTCAACAACAGCTGCACTTTCTACATTTACACGCAAGGCCTTGATTCTCCATACCCTGTCATCTTCCATCGTTCATCGCCGTGAGTACAGCGCCCCCTCCTTTCTACTATCCTGACCTACATCTGACCTATTCTCTTCAAGCCTGTCCTGCCTAGCCTACATCTGTGCCCGCGTTCCGCGGCCTGCATCTGGCCTACCCTCTTTTCACCTGTCTTGTCTAGCATTAATATTCTGGAGTTCCTCGAGTGTATCTAAAACCTTACTCTTAACCTCCCCACACTAAATGACACCTTGGCCAACTCCTCTGTCTTACTGAAATCTAAGTATTCATACCTATCCTTGACGATCTGTAGCCCCTCCCTCGGAACTACATATTCACTTCTGAACTCTCTATCCACACTCCACACCTTTCCTAGCTCATCCCTCATGTTCGTGTTTTTTTTGGCTTAGCGATTTTTATCGGCCTTATACTGTCTAAAACGCTAACTATAAAACTAGTCAGACTGCCATTTGACAAACTGATGGCAGCTTAAACTAAAACGCAACTCGGATCACAAGAAAAACTAGTTTGCCAAAACATAAACTTTTTCTGCACGTGATCGTAAGCATAACTTGAAATATCGAATGCTGACAATTCAACACCTTTGATCTATGGTATATAATCAATGTCTTTGATTTCTCGTTTAACGAGTACCTACTGCTATACTGAGGGTCGATAGCTGTCAGCATTATAACTCCCGACTCATAATGCCGAAAAAGCAGGAGCTCAATATGTTCCCCATTTATATCAAGTGCTTATGCGACAACAAACTGACAGTTGCTTCCGTCCCATCCTCTGTTCTGCCCCATCCTCGACGTCGGGAGGCCAGCATGTTTCGGTCAGTTATCAGCTGTTTAGACTTCGTCCACACGGTCGTCGTGTTGTTTACATTATGTTTGTGCTAACCTTGGTTTTACACTGCTGTTATTTTCCCTCACTGCAGAGCTGGGGCCATAGATCACATGGCTCAACTCGACAAACAGAGCGAAAAAAAATTGCAACACAGTTCAGAACATCTGGGTCACCTTTTTGCAGCACCAACACCTTATTAAAAGATACGTGGACGACTGCATGGAACAAGCTCCACATGCTCTGCAGTTTATATGAGATGTAGGAGACACTTGAATTTCACCGCTTTATCGCACCCTGAACCAGAAGCATGCCTGGAAACATGTTTAGGCATTGGAATATACACATGTCTGGTTTCCGCACGCATCCCGAATGTATACAAACACCTTTTGAAGCGATCTTCATTGGCGTAGGTTCAGGGAAGGAATGAGAGGAGGTATTAGCCTCACGGGTGAAATAAATGTTCGGACCATCGCTATTGTCTGGTCTGTCAGTACGTACAAAACGTTTCAATCAGTTCATTTCCCGGTCGCCTTTTGACGCTATTGAGTCCTGAGCGAAGGGCAAGATGGCATTTGAATTTCAGCCACGTGGGCGTGACAACCCGCCTTCCGTCCTTGGAATTCCTGTAATTCGAATTGGGGTCTCTTGTTGCAAGTCCAGTGTTCGACCAGCTGAGCTAACCGGGAAGGACACCATACAACCAGGCAACAAGGCAGCATCGAGTCTGCATACGTCCCGAATAACTCAGTTGGAAGAGCACTGGACTAGCTGTCAGAAAACCCTGTTTCGAATCCCAGCGATGCCGATTAGATAGCTCATGCTGTGACGCATACGTGGCGAAAAGTAAAATACCATCCGGCGACTCAACAGCTAAAGAAAAAAAAAACGGAAAGAAAAAGTAACGCCTGATAGTGGGCAAAGTTCCAACGGGCGGACACGTGGTGTCCATACTAACACACCAGTCGAGGACGGTGGTCTCAACAGTTATGTAATCCGTGATATCCTCAGGTTCCATGGGAGCAGCTGTAAATTCTCATCCCCGACCGTTTGCGGTTGATGACAGAACGTGACTGATTGACGGTGATATCGGCTCTCGCCACACGATTGCTGCAAGACCATGTGCGATTGCAGAAGTGAGCGCTGAAATCCCATTCCCCAAACAAGAGCAGCACTCCGAAATCGTGGAACATACTAGCCTCGACATTTTCCTTTTTTTTCTCTTCTTTAAGTTACGCCGAGCCAGCTAGGAAGCTGACCCGACCGTAGCCTCCAACACGTATAAACCAAGCGGTTTCCCGTGACCCCTCTGACCCGTACCAACGACCGCGCGCGACCCACCGCCGCCGGATAAGCGTGTTCTCGCCGACGCGTTCTGGATACGCGCTAGGGCCCCTGACGCAGCCAGTGACGTTTGCATGGCCAGGCTCTGCCGGCGCGTTATGCAACATGTTGATATTCATGGCCAGCGCCGGCTGGTGGGGCGGGAGAGGCGGTCGGATGGAGGGACGGTTACATACACCGCGCAAGTGCAGGATCTGCACGTGCGCTGACGTCAGGCTGGAGTACGAGCTGTTGGGTGTACAGCGGTAGGGTGGGGGCGGTGCTCTTCACGGGTCGAATAAAGCCATCGGTATTCATGTGGAATGGGGGACTGGTTGGCTTGGGTGCAGACTTTGGGAGCATTTTAGGTATGGGTACCGGCATTGGCAAAACTTTTACGAAATGTCTGGTTGATGCCTAAAGAATGTTCCTGCACGGGTTTCATTTAGTCCTAATTGACTCAACTTACACCGCTTTTCGAATTATCAAAGGCAAAATAGTAAGGTCGGGTATACAATTCCCGGACATCTTTTTCATGGGTAAGATTTAAAGTGATGAAAAATCTGCGGTCGGGCCGGCAGCGAATGGGTATACTGATGAGGAATGGTTAGCAAATATGTATGGTTACAACCCCAGGGGTGGCGGGTGGATGGGGTAAAGGCATTATTATCAGTGATGGCCCCTGGTTGACGAGTTAATAGTTGAGAGCTAAAGTGCTGGAAAAAGTGCCATCGGGCCGGCGGCGAATGGGTACGCTGGTACGGAATGGGTGGCAAGTATGTATGGACACTGCCTCATAGGTAGCAGGTGGATGGGGTAAAGGCATTATTATCAGTGATGGTCCCTGGTTGACGAGTGAATCGGCTTAAAGTTCCGTGGCTTGGATCCTGTTATTTTCATGTGCCGACGTACTGATGTTTATTGCTGACTGGACGCATCGCCCGCATGCTAAGCGTGTTCCTTTACATCGTTTAAATATTACTCTGTGTAGCACATCATTGTTATACACGTCCAACTTACACCACTGTTTTGCTGAGATATGATTGCGTGACTACGCATTATATGACTATATATGACTATATGACCACGCATTGCACGCCATGCCGAAGACGTTCTGCATGGGTCACGCCGCTAAGTCAGCGAACGACTTTTGTGCGTGATAGACGGGATCCAGCTTGCTATCAAATGCAGTCAAATGCACTTACCCTGTAGCGCGAATCATTAAATGAGCTAGGAGCTCACATTAGTTTCTTGTTCTAACAACAGCTCAATATTGTGGATATTTGTTTACGATTCCTCCTGTATGGGCTGTCGATACTCGCGGACATTCGTGTGGTGCAATCGTATGGTGAGGAGGAGTCCTCTTCGTTGGCCGATGGTCCATAAGTCATCAGCAATTACCGGAGAGCATGCAAGCCGACCAAAGGCGTATCCAGCACAGAACTTTGGAGGGTTCTGCAAGTTGCAGCGCCAGCTCCACGAAAGCCAAGTCGAAATACGCAAACTGCGTGCTTTGCTACCGTCTTGCAGGCTTGTCCAGCCATTCCGGAGGCTTCCCCGGGTCCGCCCCTGTGGCGGACTGCATCTTCCTGAGAGTTCGGCACAGACCGTGTGTGTGATGAGACCGACCGTGCGTGTGATGAGACCGACCGTGGTGTGACGGGACCGACCATGTGTGTGAGACCGACCGTGCGTGTGATGAGACCGACCATGTGTGTGATTAGACCGACTGCGTGTGTGACGGGACCCACCATGCGTGTGACGGGACCGACCGTGCGTATGGCGGGACCGACCGTTCGTGTGATGGGACCAACCGTGTGTGTGACGGGACCGACCGTGTGTGTGATGAGACCGACCGTGCGTGTGATGAGACCAACCGTGCGTGTGATGAGACCGACCATGTGTGTGATAAGACCGACTGCGTGTGTGACGGGACCCACCGTGCGTATGGCGGGACCGACCGTTCGTATGATGGGACCAACCGTGTGTGTTTCGGGACCGACCGTGTGTGTGATGAGATCGACCGTGCGTGTGACGGGACCGACTATGCGTGTGATGTATGTTCGTAACAGTGGCCGCTGGTTCGCAGTATCTGACGGTGATCTTCCGTCCCAACCCGCGCATGATGTGGGCCGCCACGCCGGAGCCCTGCGCCGTCTGCCGTCTCACTGCCATCAACAACGTCAACGAGGAAGCCAACCGGAAGTACACAGAGAAGGTCTTCAAGTTCATGAACGACAAGTTCGGCATTCCTGGAGACAGGCGAGTTGATGAAGATCATTACCGTTAGTGACTTAATCGATATAGTGGGACAGTTTACAGTTTGTGCCAGCACCGAACACCGCAACTACCGCGACCTTCTCCAACAGGTTAAGCCCCTAAGCATGTTGCATAATACTTGTCGTTATCTTTGGTTACACAGTCACATTGTCGTACCTGCGTTCCACCACACGCTGCATTCGCTATGCTATGCTGCACTGTATTCCATTTCATGTAGCATTGGAGAACATTCTATCCCGTTTGCATCGAAGGCCAACAAGGTTCACACTAAAGAAACGTATAGTGTTTTATCTGTAACTGTAAAATACTAGCTGTCCCGCACTTGTATCGTGCCAGGGCGAGGCTCAATGTAAGCTCATTTAGATGGGTGTTCGGTAGCCGTCAATTGCGGGGAGTTCGCGGAAGGGCGTAGCTGGGCTGTGCTAGCGGAATGTTCATTGTCTCTCGTTCATTAAGCGAGGCTTAATCAACCTCGGCGTTCCATTTCATTGTTGGAGCCCCGGCAACACCGTGCCGCCGCTGTGAGTCATGTCCCATGAAAAAGCACCGTGTTTCGCTTTGATTTTGGAATTCAGCAATCGTGGATGACACGAATATCACACATTTACGTGCTGTCAAGGCGTGTCTTTACACGAAGGACACTGTTTATATGAAGCTGCGAATCATGCCTTATTTTTAATTGTCTCACTAATTAATAGTGTTTAAATACCACTGTTAGCGCCTCTCGTGCGACCAGGTCAGTGCTACTTCCCATGCCTGACCGATGTAAGCCTCAATGACCTGTGGTTTAGCACTGGACGTCTAACTCACGTATTACATATGCATATCTCGGTCGCCACTTTTCAACTATGTCCACTGATGCCATTTAAACGTTGTGCTAATTGAAAAGCGGAGAATGACACCACACGCTAAGCACTGTCCGCGTAAAAGGCTAGTTGAAGTGATCGCACGACATTGCAACACGAATGTGCTTTTGAAAAGCCAGTAAGCATAGTACAGTTATATCGGCGTAGTGACCTGAAGAGCAGGAACCGGTGTAAAACACTCTTTGGGGGGGGGGGGGGGGGAGCGGGGGCGGGCTGGCACCAGAATACTATACTACAGTTCACTGAGCCAGATCGACAACTTACGAAAACGATCCGTATCAACGGATGTCGGAAACGCTGAAAGCGCACACCGAGCTGTAATTATGCACATTAATGTGGATCGATATGCATATATATAGTGCCAGTGTAGCAGTGCCAGTCCCGGCCACCCGGCCGCAAACAGCCGGTTGGCAGCACGAGTCCTGAGGTGCAGGTGATTACGCTTGTATCACACTGCACGCGGGGCTCGGGTTGTGAAACTGACAAACAAGGCAGCAACAAGGCAACTACTGCCACCTTTCTCTATCGTCGCCGAAGATAGTGGCGTGCGCGACATTGGTGACCCCGACGTGATCTACCAACGCATCAACTGAAGATGGCCAAAAGTAAGCCAGACAGTGCGACGATCAACCACGGAATACGACAAAACCGTTGTTTACCAAGATCTATCTGATTTTTATCAATGCTGAATGTAGTCCTGTCCAATCACAGCAGTGTTCAAATGCTCGTCTAATTAAGGACCTTATGACGCTAATTTTGTAGCGTCGAGGACACTGACAGTCAGCATATATACATGTATATATATATATATATATATATATATATATATATATATATATGTATAACTATATATATATATATATATATATATATATATATATGTATAACTATATATATATAACTATATATATATACATATATATATATATATATATATATATATACACCGAAAACAGACTACAACGGACGGTGCTTAAATGCTGACAGTGAGTGTCCTCGACGCTACAAAATTAGCGTCATAAGGTAATTCATTAGACGAGCATTTAAGCACTGCTCTGATTGGACAGGACTTCATTCATAATTGATAAGAATCGGACAGATCTTGGTGAACAACGGTTTTTCAAAATTCGACGTTGAAAACAAAATGCAACGACATATGACAAGACACCTTGACAGAAAACCAACACAAGACATTCAACCAACCGTTAAACTCTTTTATCAAAATCAAAGGCCATCTGCCCACAAACGAGGCGAACAAAACTTTACGGGAAATTATCTCACGACATGTTAAAGGCAAAACGCCTCCAAAATAGACATCGTCATTTATTTCCGTAATAAGAAGGTATACAACTTTCTTATGAGAAACAGCCCAGACAAACCCGACAAACTGAAATGCACCAATGTAGTGTATCAGTTCAAATGCAACGTCGAAGGCTGCAAACTTCGTTCCATACACTACATTGGTGTAACCACGACGACACTCTCACGACGCCTGACAGTGCACCTACGTGACGGGGCATCTCTGGACCACATGATACAGGAACACGATATGACATTGACCCGACAACAACTGACAGACAACACTGACATTTTACGGACGTGCAATGACAGAAGACGCCTTTTAAATTTGGGAAAGCATATTCATTAGCGAACTATCTCCGGCCCTTAACGGACAAATTATTATACAACTCTTGAACTATTAGGTGGTGGGCCGTGAGCACCATTGATGTGATTGTGGCAATACTGTTCTCATTGTGTCTTTGTAGTGTTCCCATTATGATTGTTTCTTATATGTATCAAGGTGAAAATAGGATTCCGTCTTACTTCCATTAGTTATGCTTCATTTATGTTTCCCGTACCAGAAGATGTTTTCCCACAGAAGCGCACAATTTTTTTCCTTTCTAACTCAAAGCTTATTTCTTGTGCCATTTATTCTTCTCCGACGATGAGATAGGATCTTGAAACTTTAGAATGTAAGGAGCGATGAATATACGAGTAAATTTATGCGAAACATCTTTAATCTCAGCAATGATGCCAGGTCAAAGGCGCGGAAACTAGAATGATGCGTCAAGAAGCTCGTCATTGTTGAGTCAGCAGTTATTTTTAATCAAACATATATATATATATATATATATATATATATATACACGTAGATACCTTGATGCGTGCGCGGGCCCATTCCTGCAGCCAAACTTGATTTTTCAACAACCGATTGTGATGCTTGCGTCGCTGTTTATGGATGTGTAGCAACTGCCACGTTCTTGGAAAAAGTCGGTATAACATCGCATATGTGAGGCGTGACCTATTTCTCCACACGCGTCAGACGAGGGATCGGTAGGAAACCATTTCAATTTGCACCATAATCAAGCATAAGCCGATTAAGCTTGCCGATAATTTATTATGCTATATTTATCTTAAGCCTATAAGCCGACGACCGATTCATAGTTCAATGTCTAGGAACTCAATTTTTCCTACCCCATTTCCTCAGGTTCCCGTGGTTGAAGGCTGTTTTATTTAAGGTCCTGATAGCTAATCATAGCACGTTTATGAGCTCATCTCGAACGGGTAGTTGATCGCCCTGCGAATTAAACGGTCTGTTCTGTAACTAGATGAGTTCATCATGTAACTAGATCATCCATTATTTTGTCATGAACGCGTTGCCATGGAATAGCACACAACCGGCCTGCTTCTGTGCTGCGGAAAAAGTGTAATGGTTGCAAAAATTGTTGTGTGTTTGCATGACGACATTTGGATCAGAGTTCTACTAAGGGTCGCTTACTGTAGGAACCCTACCCGCCATATAGCATGAAAGTATTACTGAAGGGGCCCGATCCTGGTATGGTAGGGCAAAACTGGATAACTGCTCTGCTGAGAGATCGCAACGTGCTACGTAGTGCCGTGTTGTCACCCTTGTCTCTGTCTGGCATCTTGTTCAGCTGCTTGGAGGTGTTTGGAGGCTTTGCGCAAGTATGCCGCATTCCGCGCCCCCTCCCCCTGCGTTGTGGTGTTGTCTGGAAACCATCTGCGTGGTGAACTGAGGGCGCCGCCGACAGACGTCCTTGCCGGCGGTCACTGACGCGACCCGTCTTGCAGGATGTACGTCATCTTCTTCAACCCCGCCAGCACCCACGTCGGCTTCACGGGTCGCCTGTTCTCCGACCTGATGCGATAGGGTGTCGGCGCCGCAGGAGGCGGTCTGCCGCCACGCGAGGGAACACCGCTGTCGTGACACTGCACGATCGATGGCGTCTCCTGCGACACGGGGCTGCGCGTGCGGTGGGGGTGCGGTGGCACTCCGGCGCATCGCACACTGCCTCCGAACTGTACCATCGCGCACTGCCTCCGATCTGCACGGCAACGGAGGCCTCTCCTCGTTCGCGTCGTCACTCCGCGCCTGCGTGTAAAACGTTTACACCCTTTGGTCTGCTCCTAGATGCGTTGTACTTTGTAATTAGGTAGGATGCGGGACATCCTTCAGCTTGAATCGATACTTGTATCAGATGTAGGTGTAAAAATTACCCATAAGATGTACTTTAATGGCGGAATACTTAGGGTGTTAAGCACTGCTCTGTTCGCCGTTGCCTCTCACTGCCATGTTCCCAAACGCATATTTTAAATACATATATGATGCACCAACCGTGTTATATTCCGTTGTGAGTGGCTGATAGTTGTGAACTATCGTCACTTGTCAGCTTGGAAACGTCCTGTGAAAATATATCCATCGTTCCTTACCAAACCCCTCCAAACGCACAGCATAGGCAAAAGGCTGACTGAATCCGGTCGGCCTAGGTCTAAATTTTCATGCGAGAATTTCGAATGGCGACACTGATTATTTCCTTCCTGCAATGTGCCTACAGAACCTAGCATCGTAAAACTGTTTGTCCGTTAGTTTAGGACACTTGCGCTCTCTTTTCCAGATGGCTGAGCCATCCTACCGTTGAGCAAATTAATTGTGTTATACTTCATCGCTTAAGCCTGTTTCGGAGTTGGTTCTAGACTTATGGTGGACAACTAGACTTGGCTTTATTTTACCTTTGAATTTATTTGGTTTGAGGCGTTTTGGCCCCTGTAGACCATTCCATGCCCTGAAAAAGCTACCGCTTCGTGTAAACTTTGTAGGCATAGGAGTGAAGGACTGCATGCAAAAAGTAGCTGATCAGTGATGTTCAATGACGTCTCGGACTCCGATGTCACTTTCCCCAAACGCACACGCAGCAATTGACAAGAGCCGGCCAGAGTAAGCTGCCTCGGCGCGGTCCGTGAGTCACCCCGTCGAGAGGTGTTCAACACGAGGACACAGGAAACTCGCCGCGAGCTTGCACTAACTCGGTGACCGGCGCCGCGAAGGTCAGAGACGCGACCAAAGTCCAGCCGCGGAGGGCGAGCGCACTGTCAATGAGGCCACAATCGCGGAGATAGGCTCAGCTCGGCTGGCCAGTTGGCACGTCGTCGGTGACGAGAACGCTTTGGGTTTGCCACGGACGCTTGGAGAAACGCCATGCCGGTTTTCGAGATTGACACGAACGTCGCCGAGGCGAACATCACGCCACAAGTGGTCATGGAGCTCACAGAGCTGCTTGCTAAGCTCCTGGGGCTGGATGTGAAGGTGAGATAGCTCGCTGTGTACCGCAAGACCGTTCTCGCTGAAACGACTCGTGCCAAAAGAGCTACGAGCACTCTAGCTACTTATAACAACTCCCGGTGGAGCTAGGTAAGATACAGCGTATCTTGCCTGGCTCCATTTGGCGTTATTTATTCCTAAGAATCCATTTTTTTTGTAATGTGTTAACATGTACAATATTGCATGCAGCTGGGCTAAAAACTCATATCACTGGATAAACTAATTGTTGTCTAACTCAGTGACTGAAAGCCCAGATTTCGCCTCATATCTTACTGATGGCCGTTTTTTACTGGCTTTTACAGCAATGTTTGAATGCATTTCGACGTAAAAACGTGTTCTAATCCGTTCACTTCCCCTCAACATTCCCACAACACTCACTGAATCGTTCCATGCGCGTCCGACAGGATACGTACTGCGCATATCAAGTATGTAATTCGACTCGATGCTCTTATCCGAAATCTTTGTCGCCTTTCGTGCTGACCCTGACAGCGCGCAAGACTCAGAAAATATTGCGGATGGCCATCTCATACAGTTCCTTTCCTTTCGATCCGACTCATGCCCTTCGTTCAGATGACCCGACCGTGGATAAACATACACTGCAGCCGGCAGCGTTTATGTAGCCTGCACTCTGCAACCCGTTACATAACTTGTTAACATTCGCATGCGCAGCTCTGGAACTGAAACGCTACCAGCTTCGCTTGAATTGCAACGGCTGTCATCAACCTTTAGACTTTATCTTCACAAAACAGTCACCGATTTTCGTATGCACATCGTATTCCCGATCATTTATTAAGCAGGGCCAGTTGCTTGTGATCTGAATCCACCACGTCAATTATATTTTGACTAGGGCCCTGTATTGTGCGGGATTTCGAAGAGATCTTTTCCGTGTCATACATCCCCGCGGCAGAGCAGCACTGCGCCAGGTTAGCACTCCTGGTCAGTTTCTAGCTCTCTCTCTCCCCCCCCTCCCCCCCCCCCTCTCTCTCTCTCTCTCTCTCTCTCTCTCTCTCTCTCTCTCTCTCTCTCTCTCTCTTCTCTGACCAGTTTCTAGCCCTCTCTAGCCAGGTCCTAGTTCCTAGCTGATCCAGATCATCGAGCCAAATAGATCACTGTCATGATTGGAATCCACGCGCCAGAAGGCTAGCAGCCCTGCCATCCCATTTGCTTGGCCCAAGTGACGACGACTTAAATCATTTTGCTCTCAACGTCACTTTGTACGACGGCCATTATATTTTTCGTCTGTGTGTGGCAAGTGTTGGAATGAAAAAAACATTGTCATGTGGCTTCAAAATTAATGCCCGCGATACATACCAGATTATGCTTAATGACCCGAATACAAGTGGCATGTCCATCCGATGGGAACACTCTTCACGATCGTTCCAAATAATCTTTTGCCACATGATCCAGGTAGACAAGCGACGGGATCCAGCCCGAGGACGCGTTTGGCTCGGAAGGTCGGGACAGTGTCATTGTTTTATCCCCCTTTTTGCCCATATTTTACAGTACATGACGGTGATCTTCCGTCCCAACCCACGCATGATGTGGGCTGGTACGCCGGAGCCCTGCGCCGTCTGCCGCCTCACTGCCATCCACAACGTCAACGAAGAGGCCAACCGAAGGTTCACTGAAAAGGTGTTCAAGTTCATGAACGACAAACTCGGCCTGCCTGGAAACAGGTGAGGGCAATAGGGTTTACAGCGTAACTAAAAAACGGCTAGATGTCTCTTCAAATGTATTATTAGCCCACCTTCACTAGCTCGATCTCGGTGATGTAACCACCTGCGGTTTTTCGAGGATACCCTGAAGTTAAAGGTATCGTCAGGGTACGGAGATGCGATATCGTTCTCAAAACTAAGCACGGTAAACATACAAAATATTGACGATGGAAGGCGCGCTGCTAACCCTGCATGCCCTCCGTCATATCGTCTAATGATTCAAAATGTGGAGAGGATTTGTGTCGTACTTTGTTAAAGCCCATGAACCTTACACCGGCTACGCAAGGGCAACGTCGTCCCTTGTAAAATATTGAAGATGACGTCATTTTAATGGTGACGCTAGTCCATTCGTCTCAAGGGCGCTTCAGGTCACATTTTGGAAATCACTTATATGAAGCTGGTAAGCATGAGATCATCGAGTGTTATGTCTTGTAAGGTCATGAAATGATTCCGTCCCCTTCATACTGTCCCCATGCTGCCCTCTTGAAATGGATGACGGTATGCTTTTGTCTGCTACAGCAGAACACTTGAAATAAACTATGAAGTGACGTAAGTTAAGGCCGTGGTGCCTATTGATCCTTTTAAAGCTCTGCTCCGGCACATCGAGCGTGGAATAGGTGAAACGGTGGCGATGCCTCCAAAGCTAGAGAGGTCAAGCCTTCCTGACTGGAAGTCTTAGTCACCTGGCCATCGTGTACAAGCATACTGGAAGGACAGTCAATCCGAATGGAAACTAATACACACCAACTAGCCAAAACCACTAAACCGCTACCTACTTTGACTACCACTGCACTGAGCTCGCGTCGTGTTCACGAGCAAGGCCACAGGCTGAGCGTCTTACTTGAACAGCGATGAAGTTCAAACTTGAGCTAGGCCCAGCCGTGCTGACAGGCTCACTTAAGACGAATTTCGCTACAACTACCGATTGCCAGGCGCTGCCCTGCTGATACGCTCACTAAAGGCCAATATCATTTCAACCACGCATTGCAGTATCATGAAGTACATCGGGAACAGTAAACGTCATCCTTTAAACAAGCTGCATGGATTCTAGAACGTTCACACACGAGCCGTTTGATCAGAACTGTGTTCCCGCAACATAACACTGTGAGCAAAGTTTGCCAACCCAACTTCCTTTCCCTTAAGATGAACACGGAAATCGTACAAACTCCTTTTGTAACAACAGACGTTGGAGCCAATGTTCAAAGCCGGGTACGAACGCCTGAGCGCGAGCCACACATCAGCCGGCTTTTGAGCGCCTCGGAAGATTGATGTGGGATCTCGGCAGCCGGAACACGCAACAACGCGATCACTGGGGTAGAAGCTCACAGTGCTGTTTGTTGCCAGCATGCGGCACAAAGGCCCCGTTGTTCGGGTCCGTCGCGCGGCGTGACATGTTTGTATACAACGGTATGCGCCCAGCGCAAGCTCTGATCACACCGCCACTCGAGCAAACCGCTCATGCAACATTTTTTTTTTTAGAGACTTCTCCCTAAACAATTTGTACGAAGCATTTATTTACAAAACATTTGTACAGTCGATCAGCCACAGAGTATTTCTGAGGAGCATTGGCGTCTTCCGATCACGTAGCTTATGGGGGTCTAACTCGTGAATGGGGTTAACGTTCCTTACTCCGTCCAGCACTGTCCCCACCTCCTCCCCCGTCGGGCTGGCGAGGCCTGGTCATGGCGTGCCGCTGTCGCAGGGTAAGGGGACCACACAAGCCTCCTGATCGCACGCAAACGAAACACGCCAGAGCCAGTGCGGTATCAGGTAGCGCAGCACTACGTCAGATGATTCCGTTGAATAATGATGCAATGAATGACTGATGTGTCGAGTAACGTGGAGGATGCAAAATGGGCAACGTTCAGCCCTTCAACTGTTTTAATATCATTAAAGTCATGTGAGCTGTGACAGCAGGAAGAACGGCATAGCGCAGATTTCTGTAAATCATACCCTGATCGTAGCCCATCAGTAGGCGTGACGTGTGACGTCAAACAGGTCATACAGGTCAAGTCTTGCGCGCATAGCCTCACCCTGCTTTTCCAAGAACTAAGCATGCTATGACGAAGCAAAACCACAATTGATAATGCTTGGCAAGTTGTATTAAATCACGGTTGATATGATTTAAGGTGCCAGCATATTTCATCAAGGGCTTAGAAATATTTCAGCATACTTATGTGGTACATTTATTTGACTTAGATCATGGCTTGCCCTTTGTCATATCACACTTTTACTTATTACGATAACGTCTAGTAACTCAGAGAAAGATGGTTTAGACTGGATATCATACCACAAGCGTTCACGATCGGGACTAACACGAAATATTGGCCGACACGAATTTGGCAAGGGATCATCAACCGTGACATACGAGACTTACAGCGTTTCAACTGTCACAGATTGTGTGAAATGTTAAAACCTCAGTCGCACAACAATTTTAGCATCAGGCGTTTATGGGCTCGAAAGAAATTCTAGGAAATCCCGAGAAACCCTGACCTCTTAGGCCCCCCTCCACTGGGTAGCGTTAGTGCCCGGATGCCATTGCTTCTCCCTCGTCTAGTCGCATCTCTCAGATCCTGTCATTAATCCATCACGTTTTGTTTTGCAGGATGTATATCCTCTTCTACAGCCCTGCCGCCAACCACGTGGGCTTTACTGGACGCCTGTTCTCCGACCTGAAGCTGTAGAGCCGCTGTCACCGTTCCGCAGATGGTCATTCAATACCACGTACAAGGAGACCAAATTACATGCAAATGCTCTCGTCTGCTGTGTTCCGCGTCATGTACCGTCTTTGTCACCTGTGATGCGTTGATGTTCGGAATGACGCCGGCAGTTATGAGACGTTCTTCGCTGTCTCTCATCGGTGCCACACCCGCATTCTTTGGTACCCCGTCTTCAATGCGTTAAGATTAGACGTAATCGAACAACTTCTGGTTTGCTTTAGATATTCACTGCTGTTTTCGTTGAAACCTGAAACGTCGCACTCTTCCAGTGAGGGCGTAACTCGTGGGTCCAACCAACGAATTTCTGGTTATTTTTAGCCGACGTGCTGATCTGGCGCAACTGATGCAAGTCAAATTTGTGTCCGGGGTCTTGTGGTATTGATTTTTAGCTGCAATGATTGCCACCCATTTTTGCCATTGCATTTTCAAGCTGAGTCAGATATCTGAAACTTAAAACGTTGGTGTGTGTCTCTGACAAACAGAACGGTACTGTTGCCATTTTTGGCGCAAGCGCTCCACTCAACTTCCACCGAAGCGAGGTTTTTTGTTTGCGAGCCAGGAGCTGAGATGAAGCTAAAGGCACCGTCTCGCCGTCAGGGACATACGGGAGGGGTGTCTCAGCAAGCAGCTGCCGCGCAATATTGCGCGTAATTATCATGCAATGTCACATTTGAAGCATCCTACCAATCAGTTAAAAAAGAGTTTTGGTGGGACCCGCCTGCTTTTCAAATACACCGCTAGAAGAGTTGGACTGTTTACAATGCACTTCTCTCTGGCTGAGTAAGCGCATCTTTTGTCGTCGGGCTTCAAACTTTTAACTTCCTGTCACGTACATTTATTTTTTAAAGGTAGCTCAATAGAGACTAGCCTAAGTAATTGTCTGGAAACTGTGGAAGCGTCATGTGATGATGGTCAAGAAAACCTCCCCTCCGGGACACGGTGTTCATTGCTGTGTGCTCTGCATTGTCTCGTATCGTGGTTTTGAAGGCGTGAAGTTGTATGACATAAGTTACCAATGCCCAGACTTCTCAAGAATGTTGAGGATGAGCTCGCCTCGTAATAGTTGAGAACCTTCAATGTGGTCGTTATTTGGCACTACAACGTCGTTTAACCATTGTCTCCTGGCCTGTTGAAGGTATTGGCTCAGCATGAAACCTTTAATTCGTAAGAATGAACAACTTATACAACATAGTTTTGAGCACACGGGCAAATCTTGGAACCAAAACCCCGCTGCCGGGTGTTGCAGCCTACATGGGTCGCGCGGCGTCGGCCCGCGACTAGCTTTCGGTGAAGAATAATGGTGGGTAGACGAAAATGATGACGTGTTCAAAAAACGGACCTCTGAAAGCTTTAAGGGATCAATGCTTCCGTTTAGAGGCAGGTCGGTCGTGTACATATATACGATTTGTATAAAAGGAACAGATCAACATTCACAGCACCACCAATTGGTGCTGGAGTTTGGTGTTGGGATTAGAAAAGTAGAGATAGAATCTCGGTTTTTCGGTTTACTGTAACTGCTAATTTGTTTAGAAGACATTCTCATGATCATTGAGATGAAATAGAAATGTCCCAGTCTTATCTTTGAGCGGCCCATGGAGCGGCACGAACTTTAAGCGGCACATTTGAACGGCACGAACTGACTATGAAAGACTTTCGGAGCCTTATTTCAGGACAGTCGTTCTTGCTCGCCCCTTGCCCGCCGCCTAGTGCTATCTGCAACGCCCAACACCTCTCGGTTTGAAGTAAGCTGAAGTTCCGGCCATCAGTGTTCTTGCTTCTGAGATTGTGAGCGGGCAGGCCTCAAAGCTTTCCATTCCTTTCTTTCGCTAGTCGCTTCTGAAAAGAATGGACGTCCCCGGACAAGCGTGTTTCGGCCTTCTTTTCATTTTTGGCCGATTTCGATCCACCCTTCTGAACGCTTAAGAAACTTCTTACCTTTTCCAGACAAGGGTAGCACACAAGGGAGTAAGGTCGACACAGGGTAGGTAGGGACACTAAGGGAAGATATTATCGTCCGTGGCCAGGGGCTGAAGGGCCATTCCGTCACAGCGAAGGGTGCCTGCCGGGACCGGCTGCCGTTCTGGCGAGACGAGAGCGGGGCCCGTGGTCAATCCGAAGGCCCGTAGAGGGATACATCATACATTGGTCCCCTCCCGAACGCGGGAGGCTCTTTGACCGGGGCAGGGTGGTCCCGGATCAACGCAGAGGCCCTTATTGACACTAAAAGATCCCTCATCGCCGCAGGGGCTCCAGTAATTGACACAGTGGCTCCGGTTCGGCTTAAGGGGCCCCTGACTGAAATGGGGTGGACAGCCTTTCGTTCAGTACTGGGACCCCTGAATGCACAGGGCCCGTGCATTGTCCCACTATGGGTTCTCATCTTGAGTTATCGCTTCTCCTTTCACTGTCAGAGGGACTTCGACCAACGTGAGAGGCCCTCTCGCATTTGGGGCCCCGTCCCCGTTCCTGTTAAACAAATGCTGCCCTGGGCGACTCCCTGCCCCTTGTGGACGCAGGGAGCACTGTTAGGCACTGTAGGCCACTGGCAGATACAGGGGCCCAGACCAAAATAAGTTGCTAGCCTAGCTGAGCCAGTGATCAAGTTTTCTGCGATAGAGAACGATAGTAATTAAGAATGACTTTTCTACCAGTGGCCTTTGTGAGGTTTGCAAAATCCACGCATAAGCCCCGCTGGAAACGGCGGCCCCGTGTATCTCAGAAATGGATGGAGATATCGAGATCGGTGATCGTTTTGCGATCAGATTGGCAACTCTGACCAATATCTGCACCACAATGCTTGAACTTGTGCAGCGTCGTGCAGGGCTCTCACCCCGACATGGATCTTTGCGCCAGCTCATCGATTTAGGGTCGGCGAATTCAGGCCGAATCTCTTACGCACCTACTCCCCCCCAAAAAGAAGAAAATGACGAAAGCAACGAAACTGGACAAAGTAAGTGGTTTATTAGCTAGCTTCGGTTGATTATGCCGCTTTGCGATCATAAGTCTGGTACAAGTTTTTCGCGCAGTAAAACAGTACCTTAACAGCAGAAAGGAGACTCAAATGAAGCCCGTGCAAGTTAAATATGATATCAGAGGTCGCTGAGATATGACGTCTTTCGAGCTGTCTGTTTACCTATCAGAAGGCAGAGAGAAACGCATTTACTCAGGTGCAAACGCAGTGCAAGCAGCCGATGCTTGCGTAAAATTGAGCTGCAAAAGTTATTTATAACTTCTAGATAGCTGTCTAATATTACTGTATAGGTCTCGACTTCGGTTTTGTTCAGTTAAATGTAATGATCTACCGCATTATGCCACAAGCAAATAAAAGTGCGCACACATCAGAGAAAATAAATATTTCCAGCCTTCTGGCCACACGGGCATATCGCTCGAAATACTACGTAAAATAGTGTTAAGTGTCTCCACTGGGTACAATGTCTGAATGACACGAAACTCCATTCTGCTCAAACTCAAGCTGTTTGTGCTGACTTCCGATAATGATCTTTCATTGCTGGGAACTTTGGGTGACTTAGTGTGGTCTCAATACAATGATGAAGTTGCATTCTTATCACTTATGGTTTATCTGCAACTGATGTCTCATGCCCATTGAAAATGTATCCTAGGTGTATGGAGAAAGGCTCCCATACTTCTGTGTCCATTCTTTCGCCTCCGCCCAAACAGCTGAAGGCCACGCGTTATTCCAATACACAAGCTACTCAGCTGCAGCAAGTGACCAGGGTTGCATTTGCAACGACCGAGAAGCATGACAGACCTTCAAAAACCGCTGCATCAGGCTGCACAAACCAAGCACTGCGTCATGATTGTGACCTTGGTGGTTCCACCGCGAGAGCCTGACTCGGCAGAACAGGAGGAGGGGGGGGGGGGGGGGGGGAGAGGGGGAGGGGGTTGGCGAGCTGGCTGAAGTGAGAGAGCGAGAAAGTGAAGACTGCGCGCAATCCTCCATCACTGATTCCGCACCGCCCAGGCAGCTTCGCTGGGTAACAGCGGCTGTTGAAGCCAAGTGCCAATGTGCTTAAACAGCTACGATCCTGTTAAAACAAACCGTTGTTTTCCCGTGAGTGTTATGCCTGCTGAAATCGGGAGCGATATTAAGACAAATGCAGTCAATATCTTAGCATACTTGCGTAGTGGTTTTTGGTCAGACGAACAGCGAAACGTTTCATTGATGAAATTCCTGCATCATCGTTGCCTTTGTGTCGTGGCATAATTTTCAATGAATCAGTGACAAAATCGACATGTCTTTATTTATTTCTTTGGTAAAAAATATCACATTCACATCACCTACGCACACGCACGCACGCATATATATATATATATATATATATATATATATATATATATATATATATATATGTTTCAACAGATGTTTAGTTGGACCAAGCAAACGCAAAAATCTCGAAGTTCCAAAAATCGCCGGGACTCTGGTCGAAATCTGGCTCGGAGTTTGGCAGCCTCACAACGAAACACGTTTAATGCATAACGGCTCGGAAAAGAGCGGGCAATCATATAAGCAAAAGGACAAATCGTTGTGCACTGACATGCGCGTGGGCTTGTGCGAAAACAACGGATTCAACAGTTTTGGGGCGTCTTGTTGGATAAATGCCAGATCTCAGCGACCAAAATAAATTACGACGTGAGATCAACTGAAACACGTAGATGCAGGTACCGTTTAGAAATTGCTCAGTCACCCGAACATTGTTCGACCCCCGGGGCCACTGAGAGGCGACCTACTGCGCCTGATGTCACGTTTTTCGAAACCAATCTCAAATACGACACACTGGCACCTATACCAAGCAGGTTGGGGCCGTGAAATCACCACATATGTACAGTTTATTTTGTGCTCACCAGAAAACGCTCAAACCTTTTGCGTATATATCACAATAGATTGGTCGCAATCGTCATGAATGCGCACCACCAAAACTTGTCGTTCCCGTTGGTGTAAAGTGCCGCCCTTATTTGTCCGCCTGCCGCTGACCGCGCGTTGCCATAGCAACGCCGTTGAAACCGTGAATTCGCAACAACGGTCCTCCGATATTCAAGCGCGTGACTGCAACCATCCAGCAACCGAGGGCGGCGGCCAAACGGCACGAGCACGACTCGGCTGAAACAACAGCATGCAGCCGCTCTGGCGATCACATCCGTTGCTGTGTGTTGCTGGCTTCGCGCTGTCCAGTGCAGTTCAGAAGTCGGCCGATACAGAACAGGCCGTAGCGGAATGTCAGAATTTAGAGCAAAACAGCTGGAAACGAAACATAGCAAAGCTAATCCAGGTTAAATTCATACAGATATCCGAAATAAACGCCCCAAAGTGTTTGAAATAATCAGAATACACTACTGTTAGTAGATCAGGTAAATAGCTACTCCAAAATCAAAGGACGCGTTGAAACAAGTTGCCGCGCAATGGTGACACTCGAGTGATTTACAAAAAGCGAATACAGGTCGAGAAGCATATCGCTCGAGCAAACCAACACCGTAGACTTGTGCTCTATTAGTTAAGTTCTGAGCATGGTTTTTCAGTGTTTCTCTCACATATGACAAAGGACAGCTAGATGTTGCAGCAAATTTGTAACGTCCGGCTGCATCCTTTGATGCAAAAACAACGGGTTATAACCCGCCTTTCACGGCATATAAATGGCGTGCACATGATCGCATTCAATATGCATCCCGCATTAAAAAAACCAACTCACTGGACAAGCACCTACAATGCCGCCTCGTTAACCGCCTGCCGCGTACGTGGCCAGAGACACCAGGCCTCTGAATCTCCGAAGCGGTCTGGAGCCGCGCCGCGCCGACCCGGGGGCCGCCGCCTGCCGGGCCGGCATACCAATGAAGCGCTCGGCCAGACGCCGGGGCGCGCCTCGCGTGCGCCGGCCTGCGGGCCACTGACAGCCGCTCCGTCATCCGTCGGCGGACCCCAGTGACGTCATCGTGTTCTCTGGGAGCGGTCGGAATCCGCAGAGGTTGCGATGCATTCCACCCGAAACCTTAGCGCTGGCTGTTTTGGACTACGCGCTTTGCTTTGAAATGTGAAGACGATTTTTTTGCATGCTGTGTCTGGTGATTTCTGACATCCCCGACTCACTAGATATTACTGCGAGGACGATGCGTATTTTCAGTCACGCCTACCCGGTTTTCATGGCTTAGATCCCAAGCAACAAAATCTGCCGTTTTGAAATGCTGTTCATGATGCATTTAATGTCTGCTGACGAGTTACAATCTCTCCTCTACTAATAACGTGTTGTTGCAAGACTGCGACAGAGTGAATCCTCTCATGGCACAATCGTCCATAGTCCTAAGGAGCTTGGTTGCAAGCGTATTTGACATGTTCGCAATGTACATGTCTTAGGCTTTCACCGATGGCGTGTGTACACGCCTCTTGCCGTGATGTGAGTGTGCCGGACATCGATGCGGTCTCGACAACGCTGTGCCACTTCCTTGCCGCTCGTGGAAAGGAGGTAACATCAGCCGCTGCCTTCCCCTTACAGAGTGCGACAGCCAAACGACGTTCTCGACCGCTTTGCGATGACGAGGATGATGATGTTGACCTAGGTTTTGGGGCACGGAACTTGTGGGCCTCCACCTTTGCCTCAACGATGCTTCATTGACGAAGTCGTCGAAGAGGGCAACAGAACATAGCGCTCCGAGCAAGAGCCTAAATGACGACGGAACACGATGCCCATCTAGCACTGAATACACACACGAGTTAGTCATAGAGAAAAGACAAGAATGAAGTCGTGTGAGATCGACTTCACTTTCCTCCTTCGGATATGTGGGTTCCATCATACGGGTGGTGCTGAAGTTCGATGCAATGTATCGCACATAGGCCAATGAAGCCTTCTCACACCGGCTTTAAACCAACGGCAAAGTAACAATGTACATGCCCTCCGTTCAATGATCATTTATTGTATAGTCTTCGAAACAAGTAGCATGCGGTTCGTGTATGTCGCGCATTTTCAACGGGCTACGGATATAATTCCGCCTTCTTCATAACAAAGTACCATTTATACAGCTTATAAGTCATTATCCCGTGTGAGCAGGACATCAATTATCATATGATCTCTCCAAGAACATGAGAATAGCAGATGTGCAATCTTCTCTAGACCGTGCTATTGTCTAGTACTACAATATCTTTGGTTTCGAAGCAGTTTCCTTCATGTACTGACATCAAGGGTCATAGAAAGATAACCAAATCTTCGTTGTCAGAACACTGTCGAATGGCCCCTGTTAATATTGTACGAGTGGTACAAGCTTCCGACTATATGTCGAAAGCATAGGGCTTAAACACCGTGATCTTCCACCACCCACGAAATCAGCTTTCCATCGAAACCGGGCAAGATTTCGTCGTCATTGGATATCTGAAACGGAACAAGTTCTTAATAAACACAACAGCAGTGGTTAGTTTCAGACAAAACGTTTACTGCAACATTTACCGAAGCATGGAGCATGGCTCAGAAAGCAATAAATGTAGTAGTGAGATTACGTAATGTAAAGGGGTAAGTAATGTTCAGAAATCAGCCGCCCACGGTATCCAAAAACAACATGAATGACTTATTTCATGGTCGTCCTCAATATAAATATTGTCAGGCAGCCAAAACAGTTATGTCTATTCACTTTTGATGCGTCCTACGTTCGTTGGAGCAATGCAAACCCATCATAAAGCACCGACTTTTTACCTATTGAAATTAAATAATGTCACGTATAGAAACTAATCCCCTCGGTAGGTCGAGCTAGGTTTAGCTGACATCTCTAAAAAAGCACTACAGTGATGTGAGCTAAAAAAATAGACCCCACCGCACGAAAGTTTTACTGGAACGTCCAGAGAGACAATCACGGATCATCTCTTTCAGAAGAAAAAAAGAATAGGAACATAGGAATGCAAGATAATCAGATTTTGATAACAGGAAGCGTCGACTGTCACTTTCGTAGCGAGCACTGCACTTAAGCAGTGCCGTCATTTAGCATTCCAAACACCAGGAATGAACTGAGATAGTAAGTCGCAGAGAGAAAGCTGAACACGCGTATCCAACTATCTGGAATTACTCATGCATATCATGTGTATTCGTGCAAGAACTCATCTCATCTTGTGCTCATCACATGAAGTCATAAGCTATATTCTGAAGTTGCATGAAATACATTTAGTTGCTATTCGTCCTTAGCCCATTGTCCTCAGCCCCTTGTCCTCAGTCCGCAGTTCTCAGTCCTCAATTATCAGTCCTCACCTCTTCCTTCACCATGCCGAATTCGGGATCCATGCTCTTGAAGTGGAAGCGGTAGTTTCCAGGCCTATCAAAGATCTGCTTGAAGTCGCGCAGGGTGATCTCTCCCAGCTGCTTCGGCACGGACGACAGGAACGGAGTCAGTGTCTTCTCGGTGTAGTACACCACCTGACGAAGACAGAACATGGCGTCAGGAAGAACACACTCAATGGCATTTGGGATCGGTGAAGTAAATTCGCACATGTGAATATCCAGCGTGTGGTTGGGCAGTGATGATGTGCACATTCCCTCTATATGAAAATGATTTGTGCATACATTTCTGTTGATTTGAACGAGGAATCACGAAAATGGAAACAATGGATGCTGTTTCATCCACGCATTTTGCAGTCTCCACTATGGTGAATACCAATTCACAACAAATGGGACCTGACTTTCCACCAACTGGAGGAAACTTTATCCCATGCAATCCTACCCCACAGATGTTCCGAACGAACGCACTGCCAACACCAGCACTACCTTGGTGAATGAGTTCTGTCCCTGCAGGCTGGTGATGGGGGCCCGCTTGTTGGGCGGGACCGCCTCTGGTGCTTCCACCTGTCGGCCACTCTCGGCAACTGCCAGCCGGTCGAGCACCACCGCCACGCACTGCTCCAGGGTGTCCAGTGTGTGGTGGTTGGGATCCGACTCCCTGCGTGGGTGGGTCAGGTCAGCTAAACGGACGGCGTAACACGCTAATTAACTATAATATTTCGGGCATGAAGCACAAGAAGCGTTAATAGTCTTTGAGATCAGGTTAATTGTACGTATATGAAATGGGAAAACCAACGAGTCGCACACTCATCGTTATTATTGACTCATGCCTAAAGTTTAACGGACGAAAGCCAGCTTGTATACCGACGGTGCATCAAAAGGAAATGAACGTCTGCTGAGTCAATAACCCGACACGAGCCTTTCCGTTCATAATGTGGGTGACTGTAATCCTTTCTGCTAGTTCCACGTTACGGACAATTGCGAATTAAAACCGATGTGCTGAATTTATGTCGAGCTATAAATGGTGTAGGCAAACATCACATAATGTGGCCAGTAGAAATGTCGCTACCGGAGAGAACAGCAGTACCTGAAGTTGGCTCTCAGACTGGAGATGGCGTCTCTGAGAATCTGCATCTCTTCCCGGCCAGAGCCTCGCTGTCTGGACACGGGCGACTGCGGCGCCACCTTTCCGTTCTGCGCGGGCTGCAACGAGATAGGTAGCGTTAGCGCTCAGTGAATTACAACACTCAGTAACTTGAATGCGAAAGGAAAGACGTTTTGATGAGGCTGGTCGTCGGCAGAACGCCTCGTTCCTAGCGTTCCTTCGTGATTTCTCATAGTGATCACTGTTTTTCTGGCATGATATTATTATCGATTGAAGCTGTAGGTGTGGTGATCCGATACCGACGCACAAAGTCGATGGATCGGTCCTAGCGCCTGAGAGGCCCCAGCCCCGAAAGAGAAACCTGTCGGAGACACAACTCTATAAAGGACAGTTCTCGCCAAGAAACACCAATGACAGCAGCAAAATTCCAGTGCAATGGCAAGCAGCTCGACCGATCGTTTGGAAAGACAGCCTCTTGGGAGAGTCAGCGCCGGCACACCTTCGCCACACGTCACAACGCCACCACGTCCCGGTCACTGACCCTGATGTTCGAGTTGGCCAGCGCCTTGATGGCATCGTCGAACTGGCTCTGCTGCAGGTGGATCGCCTTGTCCTTGTCGGCCAGCTGGCGGCGCAGCTCCTGCAGCTCGCGGTCCTGAGCGCCGAGGCGAGCTCCCAGCTCTCCCTGACGGTCAGGGATCAAATTATAGCGTGGTCACAGGGTCACAGGTTAGGTCAGGTCATGCACCCTGACTCACTATTAGTTAGGGGTCAGGTCACGTAACACTCGACGCTAGCATCCCAGTGACTTGGGCTGCGATGAGGTCCATCCATTTATGTGCAGGCTGCTAGCCATGTGATCTCAGTCAAGCATCCATATGACTGAGGTACAACCAGTAATGGAACTGGCCACTGCGTGCTCGGTATCAGGGGTTCAGTGAAAGGTACGGGCAGGCCATGCTCATCACGTAAGCGAAGACAAGTGCTGAATTTATTAGCCTCACCACGAGTAACGCATTTACTCATCTCATCTCAAGTAATAAGTTCCCCCGCCTCAACACGAGTAATAACTTAAGTCGTCTCAGTAAACTCAGCAGCTGAAACAATCTGTAGCGAACACGAGTTGCTAACCCAGTTATGCCGATCAGAGACTCCTCGTCCCGGTGCTGCACGTGAGGTGCGCTAGATGTTTAATCTTGCTCACCAACTATGTTTCCGAATGCTTTCGGAATATGCCTGCTCACCTTTTCTGAAGCAAAGCCATGCCGTCCAAAGGCATTGCGGGGTCCCAGCTTGACGTCTTCGATCCTGCCGTCCGACTCATTCAGAATATTCTGCACGACAGACATACGGATATAGACCACAACGTACACATATTGACACCAGCATACAGACATACAGGCATCGATGTGTAGATGCCATAAGGTGGCACAGCATCGGCGGCGGATCGAGCCACTGCACGCAGAACATTCAAACCCATCGTCAGAAATGCCAGCAACACACTGCCTGCATGAGGCGTGATGTTGAACAGGTTGTAAAACATAACTTGCGTCAAGCAGGCGCGATGAGCATAACCCGTCCTTGAACGCAGCCAGCTCTCGCCAGCACGGACACGAACACGCTGCGCTGCGCGATCCAGGAGCCGGATCGGACGCACCTGTTTCGCCTTGTTGAGGTCCGCCTGCAGCAGGTTGCACTTCTCGGAGGTGTTCTGCAACCGCGACTTCAAGAAGACAAACTCGTCGGCCGTGTTGGTGCCCCGACAGTCGGAGCCCTCCTGCTGGTGTCCATTCAGGAGCTGAGAACACGCGGTGGAGGCTGAACCAGTCGGCAGGTAGCTCTGCTGGTCAAGGTAGCACGACAGGTGTAGCACCAGCGACCGTCAGCTGTGCGGAACGTGCCGGGTGCTGAGGTGCCCCGTCGCAGCAGTGCTGTGCGTGATTAGCTCGGCTTCCCCGGCGGCAATGACGGGGGACCTTGGAATGGGAGGATCGGCTTAACGTACATAGCCTGTGTGGTGACTGATAAGAAACTTGGCTATCATTACGTATTTCCTACGTTTGACAACATAGAGAAGACCTAGATACTTTTACAAGGACTAAGAGGTCACTATTTGACGCTTTCACTCGGGGTGTGTGACTCATTTAGACCTCCGCAATGAACGTTGGGTCAGCCTCAGTATCACTGAGCGCTGCTGGGCCTTCTATGACCAGCAATATGTATATCCAGAATGACATCAGCCACATGGAAAAATAGCTTTTGACAATGCCGTTGTCATTGATGCTTAGCTACTAAGGCTATATGACGTCGCCTGCCTGCCACCCTGGCAGGAAGGGCGGGCGTCACGGGGAATTGAACCCCGTACTTCTGGCTTCCTAGGCGCACTGGCTTTGAAATTCTGATGCACTGGCTTTGGAGGCAAATGGAGTTTATGCATCACGTTGCTTTCAATTTCCAGCACGACGGTAAGTTACACATCACCGCCGACATCAGGGGATGGAGTCCTCCACAGAGTCGACACATACTAGACGCACATCAAACCTGACCCGCTTCCTCTTCTGGCCGAGCCGCGTGCTTAGACGGAGGAAACCATTGAACTTTCCCCGGACAAGCTTCATGACCAGCCTGGCATCAGCGCCGTCCATCCTCAGCCGCCGCCGCCGCGGGGCAGCGCACCCTTCCACCGCACCCCTTCAGCGCACCCCTTCAGCGCACCCCGCCGCGCACTGCTCACCACCAGAGGCACGGGCTCACACTGCCGCAGCCGACCTTGTTCGCCGACTCCAGCTGGATCTGGGGCGCCGGCTTTCGTCGCGTCCGGCGACTACGGTCACGCGATGCACGTTCCCACCGGTCGCAGCCGGAGGCGCCTGCAGCAGCGGCGCGAAAGCGGCGCCGCCCGCGCGCGCCACCGACTGCGAAGCGGCCAGAGGCCACGTGCCGCGGAGTCCCCGGAAAAATGTGATTGCGACGCACTGATCAGCGCTTCTTGTGGAGATATTCTTGATTTAGCTATATGAGCATTATTATTGTATGTCAGACCGCTTGGATGTTATACAATATTTCCTAAGCTGCCAGGAGCCACTCAAAACTCTTCAACGGCAGGTGGTGACGAGTGCATTTAGAATCGATGTCTCCTGAAAACAGGCGCAAATGACCAGCTATAACCTAAGTGTTTCCGTCGATGGGAACCTCAGGACGCTCATGCTTGGCCTCAGGTGTGGCTCGTTTCCCACGCCGCCAACGACTAAACAGGGCCTAGGGCGGAGTTCCCAGGGATAATGACACCAAATTTGAGCTTTCACAGATGGGCACAGGTACAAAGGAAGTAGCAGTAATATGCAGTTGTGCTCTTTGCGGTGAATGTAATCTCCTAATGCTGCTGTTCGTTTTAGGCGACTAATGCCTCTTGAGGGGTGACACATGATGCACGGGTTTGAAGGCGGGTAAGGTTTAAAACAAATCCAGAACGACAGTGCAAGAAATTATGTCATTGCTGCTGGTGCGGACCAACGATGGCTTGGTACATTCCAGACACGCTATCTATGGATTTCACGGAGGAATTTGGGCGTAGGTTTGGGTTGTGGAAGCTTGCTGCGACGCTCCTGTGACCCAGTACGCTGACGACACCTAAATCCTTACATCCGATGCTAAACGTAGCCTTCCCTCCCTCATCCAACGCATGAAAACCATCCTATCCTCCCTAGCGTCGTGGTTTTATGCCCACGGTCTGAAGCTCAACGTGTCCAAAACCTAACTCCTTCTCCTTGGCACCAGACAGAACAACCACAGACTTTCCCCTGTCAGCGTACGGTTCGGTAAGGAGATCGTTTGGGAGAGCCTGGCCGGAAACAACTTAAGTGTGCTATTTGGCCGCCACCTCAGCTGGGACGCACACGTCAGTGATGTAGTAAGAAAGCGCATCGGCGTCCTGATCAGCCTTCGCCGTCTGAGACATTTCTTTCTGCAACGAGTGCTGATGGCCATGGTGCAGGCTCTAGCTACCTCACGCGTAAGATACTGTATTTCGGTTTATGGCCGAGGTCGGCTGTTAACGAGGTCAGACTGCTTAAAGTGGTTGATGTCGTTACCAAAGTAGTTACTGGCCTCCGGAAGTATGAACATGTGTCAATCGCGCGGGATGAGCTGCACTTTGCCACGCCTCGCCAAATGTGTGATGTGCGATGTTATCGCTGCGCACAAAGCCAAAAGGGCGAGGTGAGCCTCAAGGTGTTATCTGTTGGCTTCAAACATACGCTGACCCGCGGACCAGTGACCGAACTACCCGCATGGACCATCACTTTCTCTCCCCCGGCGGTGCGCACGGCGGTAGGACAGCGGTCCTTCGCATACCGAGCGGTGTCTCTCATTAATGAGTTAGTCGCCTGTCGATGTTCGACGAGTGCATTCAACAACTTTCATGCACGCTGCGGGGGCTCTTTTTGTGCGATAGGGTTATCTGGTGCTATTTGTGCGTGCGCTCATGTGCTTTTCTATCCCTTATCACTTTCCGTTGATTTTGGACATAGCGTTTTGCCTCTTACACTGATGACACGTAATAGCCACGTACGTATGTGGAGTGTCAGGTGATATCAAGCACTAATACATATACAAATATAGATATGTCTGTATATGAGCTTTCGAATAGCATTCTGTGATAGCTAAGTTGTTGAACAATGCTTCCTGTATCTAATCGCATTTTCTTTGTTTCCCTGCTATCATCTTTGAATGCTCTTAACACCGACAAATCTTATAAAGCATCATCCATTTGTCATAATCACAGCCCATCCATCCCCGGAAACCACAAGTAGCTTTTTCCCCAGGACACCGCTACGCACGCCACCGAACCTAGCCACTAACAACAGCAGCGCCACCCGCCAGGTGCCCGACCATCAGGTAAGACACCCCATCTGGGCCGGTCAACGAGAATACACTCCCGCCAGCTGTTCACAGCCACGGTCCGAGAAGCCCCATCTGCCTGCCAGTCAACGAGAGTCGGCCATTAAAGCTGGCCAGAAGACGGCCACGCAGCCACCCGTCCCCAGCCCGTCCGCAGACCGTCCACAGCCCGTCCCCAGCCCGCCCGCAGACCGACCGCCCGATATCCACCGCACGCTGCAAAACGCCGGTACGCAGCGCGCGCCGACTCATTTTCCATGATTTCGGTTTTCCCACGGTGGCGGCGCGCCGGCAGTGATGAGCTCCGGGCTGTGGACACCTCATCAGTCCTTCACCCCGGAAACGGCGACGCGCTGACGAGTGCGTCGCCCGACCATGTCCCCGAACAGACCACCGGAAAACGCGCCGGTTTGACAGTCAGCTGCGCAGGTTCTGCCACGCCGACTTTTCCATTAGTCCTGAGATCCTACGACAGAATTCAGAAATGGATCGTACGAAAAATGTGTCAGGAGATGACGTTTGTGTGAAGATTTCCACCGGGGCATCCATGCGCCATTCTGTTTTTGTTCTCTTGTCGTTGCCAGTTCGCAATAACGCCAAGTTTCGAAACGCAACCGGTGCAGGCATTTCTGTGCACATGAAAGAGTCGGTTCAACATTGACAGAAAGCCAACGGGCTGTATAAATCAGTAGCGCACTTTAAGTCGTCTGTAACAAATGCTCGACGAAAAGTGGTGCCGGAGGAGGACGGAGGATGATTCGGTAACGCCTGATCCAGCTGCATTCCGAGCACATTGCTTGATCGCATGCACAGCCACGCCCGTCATTCACTCTTGTTTCCCCATGGGGCAAGCAGATCCACTGCATCTATGCAGGTGATTCCGCTCAAACAAATGTGATCTAGCCATGCAGGGGGTGCACAGCAGTGTCCGCCCACCAGCCGCGACCGGCCGAAGGGGCGGCGGCGGGGCCATCGTCTCCACATCCGGCGCCGTCCGTCTCCACTGAGTTCGACGTCGCCGTCCGTGGCCGACCCCGCCGGCCGCTTCCGCCGCCGCGGCAGCTCGTCCCCAGCCCCGGTGAGAGTGCAGAACGAGTACGTACGCTCACCAACTCCTGCAGGGCGACCAGCTGGCGCCGGGCGCGGCCGAGCTCCTCCAGCAGCGCGTCGTACGAGAGCGGCTCGGCCGGCGGCGGCGGCGCGCCGTACACGCGCGCCGGCGCCGGCGCCGGTCGGCTCCAGCTCTCGAGCTGGACGGAACGGCGCAGCGCTGAATGGCGCCACAGCTCGGCCGGCGGCGCCGGCGCCTCGGGCCGCGTCCAGCCGTCCGAGCGGCGCGCCGGCGTGCCGCGCAGCCACTCGGCCACCGCCTCCTCACGCGAGCGCACGATCGAGGTGGTGGGCGAGCCGTGGCTGGAGGAGCCCTCCACCTCGCCCCGGCTGCCCAGACTGCGCTCCTCAGCGTCCTCGGACGGCTTGGGCGGCCCTGCCGGCACCGGCGGCGCGGCCGGCGCGGCGGGCCTCGAGCGTGTGTCGGGCGTCTTCGGGAGCAGGCGGCGTCCACTCATCCGGTGGATGGTGTTGTACCTGGCGATGTGAGAGGCACTGTTGCACTGATTCGTAGATACATCTTTGGAAATTGTTTCGTTAATGCTTCAATGCCACAGCTATGCCTATCGTGATGCTGATTTGTTTATTCTGGTGACAAAGAGGAGCGAAGCCTAGACGGATGCGCAAACACGGGTTGAGCATCCGCCGCTGATGACCGCGAGAGTGCAAGTACCACACCGACCTCAGCTGCCTGTTGATTTTACAAGGGCTTAAACGGTATAGACTGTCTCTTGCGTTTAGTAATGTGAACTGCTTTAAACTCCCAAAAACGTTTGCTGACCTAAACTGGAAGCTGCCCTGGCCGTTTTTGTGTGACCGAAATGGCCCAACCTTCCGCTGGCGTTTCGCCGGCACGAGAGACCTGACCTCCGCGGCAGTGACCGGCACAACAAGCTGGCACGATCTCCGCTACAATGACGGTACACTAAGATGCGTCGGCCTCGACTTCGCGCCACCGTCCGTCAAGTTCGATGGACCTTAGCATCTCTTCGGTGACGGACACGCCGTCTGAACTCGCTGCTAACCGATGACTGAATTGACCTGAACTCGCCGCTGACCGATCACTGAACTGACCTGAGCTCGCCGCTGACCGGTGACTGAACTGACCTGAACTCGCCGCTGGTGTTCGGCGAGCTGGTGCCGGTGCTGTGCGTGGTCAGACTCTCCCAGAAGTCGAGCGCAGCGGGCCGCACGCCGTGGCGCGGTAGGCTACTGAACCCGTCCACGATCTCACGCGGCTCGCGGCCGTCCGTCTGCGTCGTGCGCGACAGTTCGGCGCCGAGCGAGGCCGGGCCCTCCTGCACGCGTGGCGGTCGGCAGCGCGGCACGTCGTAGATGCCCTCGGTGTCGGCGGCCGGCGGTAGGCGCGGCCGGTCGCCGCTGTAGCTGGCGAAGCTGTTGCTGCGGGGCAGATTCTCGTAGAGCGGCGGCCCGGGCAGGCCCCACTGGCGGCGGCCGCGCCGCTCCACCGGCCGCGCCGCAGCCGGCGCGTCGTCGTCGACACGGCTCTCGGGCGTGGCCTCGTCGCCGCCGTCGTCGCCGTCGTCGCCGCCGACGCCGGCGGCTGCCCACTGGTGACCGGCCACGCTGGGGAAGCGGCGTAGCGGCGCCACGGCCAGCGTGCCCTCCAGCAGGTGACCGATCGACTTGCGGTTCCCGGGCACGTTCAGGTTGGGCGTCGTGACGCACACGGAGAGCGCTGAGCGCTTGTTCGGCGTGCTGGGGGTGCCGGGCGTGCTCGCCGGGCCCGCGGAGCCGGTCACCGTCGCCGTCGAAGTGGAGGGTGAGGGGGCTGAGCTGGCGGCGGAGGTGGATGGGGAGGGGGTGGGGGTCACCGTGGGAGTCGTTGTTTTGGTGGGAGGGGTTGATTTCGAGGGCGTCGCTGGTGTTGCCGTCGTGCCAGCCGACGACGCTGTGAACAAGGGGAGAATGGTTTGAATAATGGAGCATCGGGTCAGCGTGAAGCGGCGTCAGAACAGCTCTGAACTCAGGGCGGCGGTGCAGGGCTGAGCTGCATATGCATTGGCTCATGTGCGACTTTAACCGACAGAATATCCAGGCTAGAACACGCTCCGCTCATAAAGTGTCGGATACCATCAATCAAGTGAAGGAATGATGGTATGACATTGCAAATACTTCATTATTGTTGTTTGACGTGGGACTTGGGCGATGGTAAAACAAATTAGTGGTTTGGTATGACATGTCAAATTGTTTCAATAGAGCTGTAGTTTGATTTTGATCTATGCAGTCGTTTTGGATACACACGATAGCAGTTGTATTTCGTGGCAGTTACCACACTTTCGTGCTACTTCAAAGATTAAAACGATATTGGCATAATTCCTCAGAAATGGCGCGCGTTTTGTTTCAATGCTTTACCATGTACAGCTTCAACGGAGCTTAGCACAGCCAACCTCAACAACTGCATTAAGGAGAATGGTCTGGTTGGTATGGTTTGGTGGTTTCATGTTTTTTATAGCTTTATTGTATGTTTTTATGCTATCATTATGATATGGCTTATTATATTATCATTATTATCTTTATGTTTTTTATTCTATGCATTTTTTACTTTACGGTTTTATGGTTTTATGGCTTTTATGTTTTATGGTTTAACTAGTATCGTTTTAGAGCTTCATGATTTCTGGAGAGAGACGTACAACGTACACAGAATAATATAAACATTGTGAATATCGCAGCGGTTGTCTTGGCTAACTGTGCCATTGGATAAAGGCAGCACCGCAATGAATGTAGGCACGCAATACCAGCACCAGCCTCCCATGTGGCCCTGATTTAGCCAACAATTTGCAGCATTGTTGCGGAGTCAACATTGAATGACTAGAAAAACAAAGACTCAATGTAAATCCGAGGGAAATGCGACAGCTTTAGAGGTGCGTGACAACATTTGATTTGGTAACCCCTTTAACATGCAAAATCCTCCGCACAGGGTCAAGCGTTATAACGCACGCGTGTCGGCAGATCAACGTCATTGAAGGTCTAGCCAGAAAGCAGCCGACGTTTTTGTATCACGAGAACCTGTTTGCACACCACGTTTGACGTTTTGCACCTTTGAATGCCAAAATGTTTTCTTTGCTGCTTGTCTCAAACGACACTCATGTTTTGAGGTTTCTAGCTATTTACTATTTGTTCGACATGAGTACCAATGTTTGTTATTTGCAGCGAACAATACAATTTTGCTCATCCGATATCAGCTGCCAAATTAATGCGAATGGGTCAATTGGCACACACCAGGAAGTATTTAAAGCCACGCTTGTGGACATGCTACTCGTATTTATGAATTGTTATACGCGCTATTCCAGCACGATGTTTGTGTTTTCCTGCCAGTTCAATCAACAAAGTGGCCTCTTCCTGAATAATCATGCATCATATCATGCAAACAATGCAGCGGACCGAACTATTTTTTGGATTGAACTAACCGGACATTGGGTAGATTTGGCGAGTCTGCTCTGCCCAGACAGCCACGCTTTTAAATGACGCGGGCCGAAAATAGGTCCAGGTCTGGGTGGCCAGGCGTCGGAACACGACGGAAAGGAAACGGAAATGGCACTGGCACAGCTGTTGGTCGATATATGCAAGCTATCGTGAGTAATCGTACACATGCTACGGATGCGTTCGTTCTCTAGCGATTTTAAGTGTTGATATCGGATCTTGGCAGCCAAAGTATGCAAGCAGGACTCTTATATGGTGTGGGCGGCTCACTCTTTTGAATCATACGGCGACCATAACGGTTTCCAACGTGTTGGCGCACAAAGGTTAGGCGGGGAGGCAGCAAAGGTCGACTTTTCCGAAACTGGCCCCAACACAACACGCTGTGAGGTATGCCGAGGCAGACCAGGCAATGATAACTACAGCCAGCACAAAGCCAGTTAATCGTATTCGCGACCAACATTCATCTAAAACATTAACATTTTGTCCCCATGCTTGCGTAAAAACCACGAAAAATGCAGCATTTTCCGAACTCATCCCGCTCGTCGATTAAACTTGCACGGCCGTGACGGACCTGTAGCCAGTCATTACTCCAGTGACGTCATCTATAAATTTGTGGGCGTATTTACAAACATCGGTGCATCTCTGCCTGCTGAACCTATAAAAGGAGCATGTCCATATGCACTGGTACGTGCTATCAGCGTGTGCTGCCCAAGGCGGCGGGCTTCATTTGCTCCTATTTTCGGGTAATTCACATGGCAATATCAGTCACGTTTGTTATCACCTTGCCCGTCCCATGCCGTGAAAGGCATCTCGATGGCGGTGACGAGGATCCGTGCACTCCCAGCCAAAATAAGGTACGCGATTGGCTGGTTCTCTACAGCGGATTTAGCCAAACGAGGATATATCCAACGGTAGAAATAGCCCAAAACACGTCATACATCAATTGAGTCACACTAAACGACACGAATTGAAGCGAGAACGTAATGCTAAGAATTGAGTTGAGCCAGACGTAGTTTCACCATTTCTAAACTGTGAGCCAATGGAAATGAACTAAAAAGATCTGCATCTAATTATCTCTTCAACAATCTTGAAAGAGACGGACAACGGATTCAAAGGCCGGCCTCCCAATCAAATTATGCCATGCGAACATGAGCAGATGTCAAAGGCTATTTTCCAAACCTGACAACCATCCACCGCCAGTCGCCCTGCCGTAAATCAAAGCGTCCTCACTCCACAAACCTCTCCAGCGCCTGCCGGCGCCGGAACCACTCCCCACGCGGCGTCCCGCGCCTGCCGCCGGCGCCGCGCACTCACACACAGCTCTGCCGGTGGCGGCGCGCCGCTTCCACTCCCTGGCGACCATCGTGGCGCGGCGGGGAGTGGCGGACCACTCGCCCGTCGTCCAGCGCCGCGCCACACCCGGCCGGCCGCGGCCGTGTAATCAGCAGTGGGGCGCGGAGCGCGCGCCGCCGCCACCCGCGCGCGCCGTCTGAGAACGCCGGAGTAACGCACCGAGATGGCGCGCCAGATGATCGCCTGTCCGTGATTAATCACCGTAACGGAGGTGGACTGTGGCGACAACGGCGGCGTGGCCAGCGCGCCGCGCGGGGCGGGCGGGGGTGAGGGAGGAGGAGACTCGAATACCGGCGTCGCAGCCTGTCGCTGGCCAGCGGATGGCTGTGCGATGCGGCGCGGTGGATCGCTGCCCCCCCCCCCCCCCCATCCCTCCGAACAGCGCGCCTGACACCGCCCCTGCCCGTGTTTTGGGGCCTGCTGATCCACTGCAGTTTGATTTACGTCCAGCGGTGCGGGCGGGCCTTATGGGCAGCGGCTGTCCGGAACTGGACGCCACGTGATTTACAATGCAGCGCCGGCGGGCGCGCGTTACCGGCCGGCCCGCCAATTCATTAGAGAGCATGTCGGCCGCTAGCCTGGCGTCAATGGGAACACGGAAGTGAGGTGTCGACCGACGATCGGCGGCTTCGACGACGCCGAGGCCATGTGCGGATGTAATCTAAAAACAATAACGCGATGTGTGCCCTCTCGGAAAAGACAACTTATCTCCAATTTCCGCCGCCGGTATTGCCAGTTCTCTTGTGCCAGCACAAGTGCTAAACTGTCATGCCCTGCCATGACGTTCTGATGTCAGTTCGGAAACTTGTGCTGCAGAGATGGCGTGTCAAATGGTTATCACATGCGGAAGTGCTTAAAAAGAATGCCTCGGTCCCCAGGTTGCTGGACTTCACATGTCCAGTCCGGTCATTTGAGGAGCGAGAAGGTATATTTGTCCGTGGGTAACAATTAGCCAACTTGTCTTATGCTGAATGATCTTTTATGCTTCTCGAAATGCTAGTTAATTCTTTGCTAGATTTGCTAATTCATCCTGTCATCTGAGTTCTCCTCACCTAACTGACATCCAGCAATGCGGGAGTAAGGCTCGATGTTCCGGTCAGTTACTACGTCAGCTGTATGACATGCTTATTCAGTGTGTGTGTATATGGAACAACAGAGTGTTACCTAAAGCCATGATATCTAAAATAGTTTCGTACTGAATTAGGCAATTTAGGTTAGAATTACGACAAATTCCGTTGGCCTTAGGTCAGGTATGAGGGCTGGACTGAGATAAAAAACAATTTGCCTTTCCATTGGAAAACCGGTTATTACGGAGTAGCTTTTGATGCTCATTTCGAGTTTCTTTATCACAGGGAGGTCAACAGACATATCATTTGGATTTCTTGAAGGTGACGAAAAATCACTTAACTAAAGTGATCCCAATTAACCTTTAATTCTTGGGAGCATAGTCATTTTTAGCATAGCTAAAACATTTTCATGTTTATCTAAGTTGAAAAATAAAAGCAATCTGGTAGGTTTTGATTACCGTGGGCTTCTAAAGGTCAAATAAGGTGATTGACCTGAAATAAAACCAGCGACCTTTTGCTTAGAACATGTATCTAGGGCAAAGGCGGTTGCGTGAGGAAGTGAAGGCGCTTCGGACATCGAGCTTGAATTTGACCGTCTGACTCTATTTGACCCCACGATGATAAACTAGCGTCTCAAAATTTGTTACAACTGAGCTCATATATATATATATATATATATATATATATATATATGTATATATGTAGAAATATATATATATATATATATATATGTATATATATATGTATATACATATATATATATATGTATATATATATATATATATATATATATATATATATATATGACTGCCTTGTGACATGCCCAACACAATTTGGTTCTTAGCTTTTTAGATATTTGGAGGTAAATTGAACCCGCGAACGCGTCACATTCAACCGACCGCCCCTACGCATGTTAACGAGTTCGCACGCAGCTTCATTAGCAAAGAGCATGGAGTTACCTGCATAGATTATTAATCAGTCCACTCAATTTGCACTTGTAACAACCGGATTATTTCTAGACAGGAGCGAAGCGGCTGGGAGTTAGGAGCTAACGAATACCTGCAGCCAAACGCCGGCGAACGAGAACCGAATGATAGGTAGCAGCACTGAGGCAATGAGACAGAGGAGGTAGTTGGCGCTCCCAATATATGTATGATACATTCACCGATAGCCTATCCTGGTCAGCGGCATGCCATTGCCTGACGCATGTCTCCCAATGTCACTAGCGGTCGGCAAGATGCAAACGTAATGAGGTAGCTGGAGCTCTAATGGAGCCCGGCACTGTTCGGACGCTGCCCTGAGTGGACACAGCAGTGTCACTGGTGTCGTGCATCCTTATGCACGCCCTTTGCAGCACCAGCGTGCATAAACACCGGCCATACTACACTATCTGCGTCTCTGCAGCCGGGGTTGGAGAAGAAGTTGACCCGTGGCGTGGCCCATGCCAGCCACCGCAGCCTGTCATCGGTGCACGTGCCGGCCCTGCGCTGCGGCAGCCTCGGTGGGCGGGGGAGCTGGTGTGGCGGCTCGCTCCACCGTTAGCTCGGCCCGCTGACCGACCGGACGCCGCCGGGCGACGGGACTCGTTAGCGACGCCGGTCCGGCCGGCTGGCGGCGCCCGGCGCTAACTGTGCGGCTCGACGGGCCGCGTCAGCTGCCGCTGCTGTCCGGCTGTCTCATGTCCGGCTGTCCGCCTGTCTCATGTCTGGCTGGCCGCCTGTCTCATGGTCCGGCTGTCCGGCTGTCTTAAGTCTGACAGGTCGGGTGTCTTAAGCTCGGCCGTTCTGCTCTTTGTCCGTCCAGCTGTCCGACTGTCTCATGCCTGGCTGTCCGGCTGTCTCATGTTCGGCCGTTTTGCTGTCTCATGTCTGACTGTCCGGCTGTCCGGCTGTCTCATGTCCAGCCCTTATACTGTCCGGCTGTCAGGCTGTCCGGTGGTTTCATGCCCGTTTTTATGGCGGCCCCATTTCCAACTGTCCGGCTGTCTCACTTCCGGTTGTCCGACTGTCTCATGTCCGGCTGTTCGGCTGCTTCAAGTCTGACAGTTCGGCTGTCTTAAGTCCAGCTGTTCTGTTGTCCGCCCGTCCTCCTGTCCGATTGTATAATGTCCAGCCCTTCTGCTGTCCGGATATCAGGCTGTCCGCCGGTTCTCTAGCGGCTCCATTCCCAACTGTCCGGCTGTCACGATGCCTGTTTGTCCACCTCTCTGTCCCTTTTCTGGCTGTTACATGATGGTCCGATGCATGGCATGCGACTGCTTGCTAGATGTGGTCTGTTGATGAGTATGTTTTCTGACTCCCCATATTCTCACACTCTTAGTTTCTACTGCTGTCTAATGTTTGATGACTTTTTGCCGAATGCTCACTGCCTGGATGTCGGTTGTTTTCTTCTCCTGCCCACTCACCCGGCTACACACTGGAGTGTCCGACGCCTAGCGCCATGTTACTGCTAAATTGGTTCCGGCCTTTTGATCTTCGATGCCGGCGTCGGGGATCAAAATCCATTGTGGCATCAGTTGATGCAAAACTGTTTTAAAAGACCATGTATGATTATGATGACAGGTTGGCTGATCTCCGGCTACCCAGCGTCTGGTTGCCTGATGGCTGGCTGGCTGTGTGCGGACTGAGAGCTCCGGACTGAGAGCTCTCCGGAGGTTCTCGCAGGTGCTCTCTGGAGGCCCGCAGGGAGCGCTCCGACTTGTGGTTGTCCGCGGAGACGATCCCAAAGCGGACTGAGTGGACACTCTCGCCTGTTTTTAGAGCCAAATTGTGTTTTGAAGGATCCGAACACCTGCAGTCTAGCTAGCGTTGTTGACGACGGCTCCGCACCGTTGGTCTGCTTGAATCCACTTTGTTTTCAAAGTGTAAATCGCTTAGATTTTCTCGGAGGGTGAGAAGTAAGACTCTTGCTAAAATAAACATGCGGAAATTATTTCGGCTTTCATAAACCTACATCCAGAGTTAAGTGCATTGGTTGCAATTATTCCCACCTCTAGAGCATGAATGCGGGTCACCAGTTACGCAGCGTACCGCTAATTCGACATTAGTTGATTTTGGGTTTTTGGATTAGAACCCTTTGGACCAGAAATAATTATTTCAAGGCTATGGGATGAAAAAAAAAAATATTAACGGTGGAGCAGACTCTCATGCGCCTGGGGGGCCAGCCGCCAGGCTTTAATCCGCGCGTGCGCGCTGGGTACCCTCTCGGGGTCTCCCTGCCCACGGGGCTCTCGGCCCACCCGTGGCTGATGCATGCAGCCTGCCCCGGACTAGCGGGGTGTCGCGAGGACAGAGGATAAAACGAGGTAGAGGATTAGAGGGACGGATAATTCTACTTTAATCAGAAAAAACTGAATTCCTTAACATTGGCCATTTTTTCCGCTGTTCCAAGCCACCAAAACTAATAGCTGAATCAATCTTAGATACAGTCATTTCACAAAAGAACAGTGCTGCCACCTATATAGACGGTTGTTCGAACTTTGCATTATTCGATACATATCCTAGGAGACGTCGTTTCGACAATGTATTAGAGTCCTGTACCAAATTTTCAAACAGTAGAATTTTAGATCTATACGTGACCCCAACAAGTTAAGGAAAATTTTGTTTTCTGGACGTTCAGTGCAAACTATTCTAATTCATCTCCGAATCATCGAATAAGTCGATCATGCAGGTCGTTTCACAATAACAGGGTATGATAATGACTCATAGCGTTATCACGCACACTAAATTGCTGTTATCACCTTCAAATAGCATGCCCGACCAGCCAACCACGCACCGTGATCTGTGAGGAATGAGCAAAAATGATAGCAAGGCAAGTAGTAGTGACGCGGTTTTCAAGTTTCGTCTCGCCTCCAGTAGATGTCTTACCTGTCGTTCCCGTTTTCTCGGTGGTGGCGCCACTGTCGTAAGGCGATGTTCGCACGCTCTGAGGCTTGTAGTGCGCGGCCAACGCCAAAATCAGCCTCATCACCGCTTTCAGATTGCCCTCGATGACCTCTTTGCTGCCGACGTGGTGCATGCGGATTCTTTTAGCGGCCATAAACTGAGGGAAAACCCATGGTGTTAGAATTGACTCTGTAAAAGAAATAATGTTGTAGCAGATTAGCAGTTCCTGCCTGCACTGCAAAACGATCCCAGCAGCGTAGCAATACACGAAAACAATACATATAACCTGCTCTGATTTAACACTTTAGCCTGGATTCCGGCGACACCCCATTTATTCGAGGAATACTGCGTATATGGGCCATGAGTAGGCTCGGTCAAATACCCAGTCCCGTCAGAGCACCAGGTTCATGTCCAGAAGACGTTCCCTGTGCGGGCCAAGTGTCAGAAGGGCAAGAACCCCAGCTGCCTGTCGGCTTGTCCCACCAGTCCCCACTCTCATCCGTCCCACTGCCCTGAAATGGCCACTGCTGTCCGAGCCAGGGCTCTAATCTAAACCAGATTAAACAATGCACGCATACTAAAATACAGACACGTAAAACAGACTGGCACCAATGAGAAACAGCCCTGGAACAGGAGAGATGCCAGCGCTGCCCGTCTTACCTGAAGCACTCGCTCCACGTTCTCTCTCATCATCTGAGCCGTTTCCGGTAGGCGATGGATTCCGACGATCTTCTCACCCGCTGGAAACAAACAAAGTTGGACGTCATGATTGACATGACATGACATCACATCACATGATACGAAAGACGGCATGGTTAGGCTCAACACTCACGCGCTGCAGGTGCAGGACCAATGGAAGCGAGACCGCGCTAGAAGAGCTCGATAATGCAGCGACATAAAGTACCTCATATAACCAGAAAAAAAACACATTGGATCAACAAGAGACATCTCCTGCACTATCACGCTAAACTGGAGGATATGTCTTTATGAGATCAGGTACCGGACAGGTGACATGGGAACGGCTACGATGTGAGGATGAAAGGCAAAGGTTTATGATCAAGGGTGGCTGAGGCAAAGAAGTTCAGGGCACACTGATCACTGAGAGTCACTATCATCAAATCACGAGGGCGATGGCATGAAAGATCAGGTGGTAGTAACAGTAGAAACTACGGCCCACGCTTAACACAATAATTGGTGAAATACAGATCTCTTCGGGTTGTGGCGCTCCTTTCCACCAGACTAGGTCTGTTGTGCTTCTGTAAAGTGTGTGTATGGAAACATTATTTGCTGCGGCGCACGAACGTAGTCCCAGCAATGTGAATATTTCTATAAATGACACTTGCTGATAAGCTGTTCTCTTGCAGGCTGAAATTTAATGCATGTGTTCCAAGGCAGCGTAGCGTTATGGCATACACAATATGTGATGTGAAGTGTTATGTTTTAAATAATCAACCCTGTTTAACGCACTAGAGGTGACTGGTAAGTAGCTTTATTAAAGAAGAGAAACATATCCAGCCAACCGAACTGCAGTTTTTGTAACCATAACAGTGTTGGAAACGTCGAGATTTTCGGGATAATATCACTGCTTGCTTTAATCATTCTTTATGCTGTACCTCCTGGTGTAACGAAGATCGGTTGGCCGGTTATTTACAACACAAGGGCCAGAAGCTGAATGTCTTTTTACTCATATGAAGTTGCGATCACTTCGTTCAGCATTTCCCCCTCCGAGTGGCAGATCTTGAAGGATTTATTTTAAAAAAAGCTTAATTTCCCTATGGGCTACAAATTATGTCGCAATGGCGCAGTCTATCGTCATGAAAACGTTTCCAAAGCGAAATATAGTACCACACATTGCTCTGCTCATTGTTAACTTTACGCCGTGTTGGAGAATCAATCTTCCTGAGCTATTTTTAAAATGCGCTACCACAAACTGAAGTGATATGTCTGCTTGGAGAGGACGTGCGATGGAGTGATCATGAACGATGTCTTTTACTTTTGTGGATTTAGCGAAGCAGCGGCAAACAAACTGCGAAGACCAAGTATGGAGTGTATACATGACTTCCACTTCCACGATCACTCACCGAACCCACAGCTTTTTGCTACTGAGCTGCATGCCTCGCTAAAGAAGCTTTCGAAGCGTACAGGGCTATATAAGGCATCGCACTACTTTAATCTACATACAGTTCACTAGGTATCGTGAACGACTGACGCCCTAACATGGAGAGGGTGTGGAGCAAGCGGGGGGCTTTATAATAAAAATTTCAAATTCAATGGCAAAGCTGCATAAGATCAGCGGTCAGAGCATCGTTTAAAGTCGCGCCCTGGCACGATCCGTGGCCAGCTGGACCGGCAGCACCTCCACCCCCAACCGGCGGAATCCGGCTTAAGCAGCCAAGCCCGCATAGCTGGCCCGATCCCCCTGCACGCGCGCCGGGCTGGGCCCTTTACTACGGAATGCTATGGGTTCGTGCAGACTCCGTCTGCCGCCGAACTGTCTGCGGACGGTATGCGATCGGTGAGCCTCCGCCGGCTCCACACGTGCCGCGCGCTCACCCTTTTACTGCGGAATGTTGTCCGCCTCCGCCGGCGTGTCTCCTCGCGGCGCAATAAGGCCGTCTCCATTACTCGGCGACCCACGGCGGCGCGGCGCCCGCTTCCCACGGACAGGTTCGGGAGGCGGGCCACCAGGGGGCCTTCCCAGCGGTCGCCGCGTCAATTTGTCCCATTCAGTGGACGACCTCGGCGAGGTCAGGCCACAAACGGCCTCGGCGGCTGGTGGGGTGAGCCGATCGGGCGCCGGGGCCCGCGCACAATCGCCCGCTGTCGACAACAAGCTCGTCTGATTGCTATTGTGAACGCCGCTGCCGGGCTGGCCGGCGGCGGCGGACGGCCAGCACAACGGCTCGTAAACACACCGGTCAATTCGGGGCGGCTCCCGGCTCAGTGGGCTCGATCTCGGCGTGTCCCTTACGATCTGCAGGGGACCGCCGTGCGTGCGTGCTCCTGTGTTTGTGGGGGTTTAAGTGGCGGTAAAATGACGCTCAGGCGGCTCCACTCATGCGTCTCAGGACAGAGTGTCTAATGAAGTGCCCAGGCGCTGACAGTTTGATCTCTGTCTGATCTCTGTAGATCTATCAATGACAGACGCGCCCACAAGCAGGCGGCCCAAGTGGCTCAAGTGACTCACCACACGGACGTGCGGGGCGGGCATTCCCATATATGTGGAGCGGTCGGCTCGGCCTCGTGCCCAGTAAGCCGCGGCCGTCGCGCCGTGCCCGCGACGGCGCTGCACCGCCGGCGCCGTGCCCGCAACGGTGCTACGCCGCCGGATCATCCGCCTATTCTGCAGCTCCAGGGGGAGTGCGGCGCACCCACTTCCGCTGGCGGCTCAGCCACAGGCGGCGCAGCAGGGACAGGGGGAGGGGAGAGGGGGTGGTTAGCAAAGAGACAGCTGCCCCCCTCTGCCGGCTGACAGGGGAGTAAAGACATGCTTCTGCCCCCCCCCCCGCCCCCCGACCAAAAAATGGGTGATTTCCTAAACTAGAGGCCGTGTAGCTACCTGCAGGTTGCGAAAAACTAGATCAAGGAATCCTCCACAGCTGAGCCAGAGAGTAATAAATCGGGCTCAGTGGACCATTTTCAACATCAAGAGGCCAGGCTTCTGGAGAGGCCACCTTTATGAAGCAGGTAGCTCACGCACTAGATCAGGAGGCCCATTGTTGTGTGAAGGGAAGTATCTCATCATTTTTGCACATTTCAGTCATGGTTACAAAGGCCGCGTACTAGTTGATTAGAATTAACAGTTTTCTCGAAATCCCTCTGCATGGTTCAGAATATCGATTTGAAGTAGCCGCTGACGCGGGAAAAATATCGTTTGGCTCTCTGTTCACCACCATGAAATAAATATATTCTATTTCCATCGTGTTTTTCCGTCGTGCGTGTTCTATAATGTTGGCAGCACACTAGTGTAGCAAAATGTAATAAACGCTACGAAAACTTGATACATGCTATTTAGACAGAGTGGTGTGTGAACATGAAGCCGTTATCACGTGAATTCAACAAAATGTTTTATTATAGTTTTGATTTCTCCCTCATGGCGTTTACCACAGTGGCTCTTTTCGAGGCACACTTTGGCTTTGGGAATGGGAGTGTCATCTGATCCATGTGACACACTGGTTCAAACTCCAAACAGTTTCTTGGTGACAGGCCCTTGCCCACCAGGGCAAACGCAAACGTTCTTTTGCTTGAACCAGTGTAGAGGTACGCACGGCCATTGTCAGAACGGTGGTCGCAACCGCAGCGATGAAGCGCAGCAGCACTGGATACGCTGTTGCAAAGCGTAGACAGTGTAATTAGACTAAAAAATAATTAAGATTGGTATCCTCATTGCGTCTTGACGGTGCCGCGATGGCAGTATGCCGTGCTTTTATGAGACGTAGCTAGGCCTGAAGTTTGACTAGGGCATGTTTTTCTTCAAAATGTGCCCCAAAGGTGGAGCACTCCCTTTGAGCGGGCCGCTTGGCTGTCTCTGGCCCCGTCACAGACTAAGAGCCGCCCCTTCCACGCATCAGATGGCCGCGGTTTCTAATTATTATGCCCTGATTTAGGATACCGAGGCCCCTTAGACGGATTTGGAGGCCCCTTTGTGAATCGAAAGCACCCCGTTCTGGATTAATATACCCCTCTAAGCATCAGTAGCCTCTTTTGTGGAACAGAAAGCCCAGATTTAGGTTAGCGAGAGCCTAAACGGTTAATTCTGGATAATTGGCCCCTCAATCACAATTTTTGAATTTATAAGGAAACACGTGCCAGCGGTGCCCTCCTACCTTGAATACGGCACTACTCAGGAGGTCGCCCTCTGAGGAGGCCGCATTTTATCCAGAAGGCCCGCTGTAAAATCCTGCCCCCCTTCGAACTCAAATCCGTGATGCCGCCGTGGGCGAAACACATTCTAACCTCCCTGCCTTTATATTTATATTTATTTGTCCGCACGGAGTCCAGCAGTCTGATGTCTGACCAACTGATGTCGGATCGTCTATTGCCAAGCCATCTGTTTGGCTGTATCCGGCCGTTTAACCTCCCGTCCAACCTTCATGGTCACCTCGCTCGCGGGGTTGCTCTCCCCCACCCCACCCACCCCATCCCCCAAGCCCAGTGGTGTCCGGACCCCGAGGCGGCGGGCGGTCTGCGCTTCTCCCCGTGAGGTTGCCCCCCAAGCCCGGTAATGTCCGGCCCCCGAGGCGGCGGGCGGCGCGCGCCTCCCCGCAGGGCTGCCTTCCCAAGCCCGCTGTTGTTCGGCCCCGGGGCAGCGGGCGGCGGCGGGCGGTGGGGTTGTCTCGGCCGGGCTCCCACGGCAGACCAGACTTTCCGGTCGGCCGCTCGCCGCTTCCTGTCGCACGCCTCCGAGCCGCCGCCGCCGGGCGCCGAGCCGGCCCGGTAATGGCAGGGTCGTGCGCCACGGCAGCGGCGGCAGGTGCACCCAAGGAGGCGGCGGCGGACACGCGCCCGGCAGCTCGGAGCAGGCCGTCACCACCGCCGCCGCCGAGGCACGAGCCAAAGGCGCTGCTGTGACTGACGGGGGCCGGAACCGGGACTGTTCAATCCTCTCTCAGGGATCAGAAGCAATCGGCGGGAGGAGAGTGAGGCGCAGTTCGATGCGGGGTGAACTGCAGGCGCCGCGATCGAACGCTCAGATTTGAAGCTGGATAGTATGCAGAAGAAACCTTCGTCAGGCTATGGCACGTGCGCAGCGGGGGCTAGGTCCGACCGAAAGCTGGCCAGCGTTCCGAGTCTTGCGCGGAATTAAAATAATGACGTAATACGCCAGATTGAGCACGCCCGGAAGCCCGGCCGGGTGTTGGGCCTAGCCGAGGTCATTAGGTGGGTGTAATTGGCTCCATTACATGGTGCCGGGCTCATCACACCCACCGCTATGACCTGTGCTGGCTTGTGAGGCATGAACACAAGCGGAGGGCACCGCTGGCGAGGTGGCAGAAGCGCCCACAACGAACTGACGCGCAGGTGACGTGCAAGTGAAAGGACATAAAGGCGAGCTAATGTGGAAACGCGGACTGTATGTGGCTCGCAAGCTCGACAAAACGCCGAAGTTTCTTTCTGGTGTGGTGGCTAGTGTTGGCCATGTTGACATGATCCGCGAAATTCCCCGGACAGACGTTTTCTAATGCGGTGAAGCGGTGGATGGAGGCGTTGGGACATGATCTTTATGCCTGGCCCTGAGCATACATGGCTGTGTGGGTCGTAAACAAGGTGTGTCACGATTGATATGTACACATCGTAAAAATATAATGGCCAAGTCACAGCCAGTGGCATATAGACGGCTGTTCTCTTGTGCTTTTAACGGACGCGCCGTCTGAAAATCACCAGCGTTTGCTTGCAAAAATATACAACATCATGTTTTTTTACGGAGAAGTACGAGCCTATCTGAAGCGTCATTGAACAGAGAATAAGCTCTGTAAGCCCATGCAAACACAGAGCCAAATACCCACACGCTACAGAGTCTGTGGCTGGGAATATTCTGCCTTTACCCCACGTTCGGAGCCGAAAGAAAGTATCTGTTGGAGTCAGAGTTGAGTCATCTAGTCATCTAGTAAAGCCTGCAGTGGAGTCATCTCGCCAAGCCATCGTCACAGCGCTGGCCACCTCAGTCCTCTTTCCAAGGCCGCTGCCCCGGTGATCGCTGAGGCGACAGCGGCTGTGACGGCCGTCGGCGCCGGGATGACGGGCCTCGCAGGGAGGCGTCTGATCGAGAGGGTGTCGGATGCCGGCCGAGCGGGGAGCTCATCAGAGGAGAGGAGGGTGGGGGAGGGGGGGGGGGGTCGTCAGCTGGCAGTCGGGACCGAGCTCGGGTCTGCCTTTGGTGGTGACCTGTGGTGTAGACGTGGTGGAGTGGTGGCCATAGTTCTGACTGACGTGGCTTTGACATGTTGACATCTAACGGCCCTGACACCCGGATAGCGTGGATTGCGTCAGTATCACGTGTATTGTCTCAGTTATGCTCTGACTGACATGATCGGTTGCATCGTGTCCAGTTTACGGTCCAAGGCCGTTTTCCTGACGTCCTGGAGACTGAATGTTACCCTTCCGAAGCCAGAATAATTCCAGCATTGTCCTTACACTCTGGCTTGACACATGATGATGGCGATATGATGCTCACGTTCCGAACGTCCCGAGGATGTCCTTTACCTGGCGTGTGGGCTCAGTGCCTACTACCTATCCATAATCTGCCTGTAACGCAAACACCGAATCCTCCTGATCCCAGAGCGACAGTTCCAGCCACGATCGCGTGACGTCACAGCCACTACACGCCCCGGCCCACATTCCCTCGCCCCGCTTCTCCTCTCGCGTCGGCAGGCCGAGGCGAGTGCGGACCGAACTCGAGTCGGAGTCAGAGTCATGCCCTGCGGCCGGTGCGCGCGCTCGCCCGGCGAGGGAGGAATTCGGCGCCGCACAGACGGCCTCTTCGAAGCCGGTGAACGCACGACGGTCGGACAGAGAGGCGCTGTTGCAGAAGTGTGCTCGATGGCAATGCCACCAAGGGCGGTGCCTCTGTGGAACGGCTCAGACTTGCAGACAAGACAGGGACCAGGGAATGAACAGTCACTTTGATAATTTGCAGGGACTCTGCAACAGCATGCTCGCGTAGGAACACACTTGCAATGTCCCGATCCCTAGTGCGGCTGTCAGCTGGTACGCCGGCGCTCGCCCCGGCACCGCCGAGCGGCAGCGCTGGGCTCGCCACTGCAGCTGGATTCGCGCTTCGCCGGTCCGTCCGACCGTGTCGGCGCTGACAAATGAGCGAGGTCATGGCGGCGCGCCCCGGCCCGGCCGCGCCGCCTGATCGGGCGAGCCACCGCCGCCGCATCGGGTCAAACACCCCTCGCCACGCCGGCGGGGCGCACACGAGCGCCGCGACAAGCCTGGCGCGTCAGCGGCGCCGCGTCGAGCAGAGTTTATAAGTGGCGCCGCGACGAGCCTGGCGCATCAGCGGCGCCGCGACGAGCCTGGCGCATCAGCGGCACCGCGACGAGCCTGGCGTGTCAGCGGTGACGAGGCGCTGTCGTGCGTGATCGCGCGACCGCACAGCGTGGGAGCACAAGAGCAGTTGCTTGCGTGCGTTGTGCTCGTCTTCGGGAGACGCATGACAGATGGTGACAGATGACGCCCGGCACGCTGTGAGCGATTGTGACGAATGTCTGAATGCTGGTCGTCATTGGACA